AGCTCCCTGTCAGTCGTTACCAACCCCAGCTCCTTCAGAGTCAAGCCAGTCACTTCAAGGATGCCACCCATCCATCTTGCCCTTGGTCGGCCCTCTTCCTTTTTCCTTCCATTTTCCCCAGCATAATTGTCTTCTCCAAGCTTTCCTTTCTTCTCATGATGTGGCCAAAGTACTTTATCTTTGCCTCTAACATCCTTCCCTCCAATGAGTAGTYGGGCTTTATTTCCTGAAGTATGGACTGGTTGGATCTTCTGGTGGTCCAAGAACTTTCCTCCAGGACTRCAGTTCAAAAGCGTCTCTCTTCCTTCACTCAGCCTTCCTTATGGTCCAGCTCTCACATCTGTAGGTGACTACGGGGAATACCATTGCTTTAACTATGTGRATCTTTGTTGCCAGTGTGATGTCTCTACTCTTCACTATTTTATCGAGATTGGACATTGCTCTCTGTAAAGAACCCTTACCTTTTAACAGATGGGATGTGGGCATGGCAAAGCCTCAGCGGCCACTTTAGTGTAGTTCAGAGCAGGKAATGGCCGGGATTGGTGGAGAAAAAGGGGGCGGAGTTTAGGAGAAGCTGAGAGGAAAAAAGGAGTGTTTTAAGTTATAGAGAGGAGTTTGGAGTTTGGGGTTTGAAGAGAAAGGGTGTTTAGGCGTGGAGTGGTGTTAAGGGTTAGAAGAAAAGGCAAAGGCTTAGCCAGAAGTTTGCCAGCAGGGTAGCTAAAGCAAACTGACAGCTATTAGGAGAATAGCTGGGTAGTAGCAGGATATAATCAGGCTAGATTTATCTGGACTACTGAAGAATCTCTGGCAGAGACACAGTCCTGTTGGGATTCTTGTTTTGTTTTGGAGGGAGAGAAGAAACTCTTTAGTAACAAAGATAGAACCATTCTTGTAACCATCACGCTTTTAAGACACAACTTTCTGTAACAGCCAAGATATTGATGCATTTGTACCTGTTCTAACTAATAAACTTTGTTGATTATTGTTCATCAAAATCTGACTCAAGTATGCCTCTATGCTTGAAGATTTCCAAAGTGATCTTAAGTAGGTTTTAAGAAAACTAATGGTGGCAGCATAGATTAGTGATCTGAATAGATCTTTATAATTTGGCCTCCAGCGATTGAGATCGATTTGCTAGATTCTTTATAATTGGTGGCAGCGAGTGAGATCTGATTTATCCGATCGTTATACTCTCCTCCCAAGAAGTAAGCGTCTCCTGATTTCCTGGCTGCGGTCTGCATCTGCAGTGATCTTTGCACCTAGAAAAACAGAAAATCTAGGCTGAAATGGTCCCTGTATGAAAGCCTTCACTTGGGTGGTAGGCAGTATGGTGTTTGTAGAGAACATTGACAGGGCTCTTGGACATGTCCATGGCACTCACTATGTCATTGGAGGGAGGGCTATTGGTGTCTTCTGAGTATTGGGAACTATAGTTATTTATGGAAGTGTGTTCTTTTCTGGTGTAAGTGGACATCCCAGCCACACACAATCATAAATATTTTCATTATTATTATTATTATTATTATTATTATTATTATTACATTATATATATGTGTGTATAGATTTCCCACCACTCATTTAATGAAGTGGATAAAAGAATGACTAAATATTTAATAATAATTCTTTTTTTTGTTTAGCACCAAGCTATTGTTTAACATCTACTGATTAAGGTAGTTCAAGAAATTATGATAGAGAGATTAATAAAAGAGAAAAATAGGTTTGAACAATAAACCTACTGGGAAGAAAATAGCCTTGTTCTGCTATAATTATACTGATAAGTTAGAAAAATGCAAAACAGGCACAAGAAAATGGCATGAATTGATCTGCATTTTGTTTGCACTACCTTGCCAATGCTTGAATGTTAAGAATGGGAGTTATACATTCATCGGGATGGTGTTGGATTGCAACTCCCAGCATTCATTTCCCCTGGGCTATGATGAATTAAGACTGCCAGCAGTTGTAGTCCAACCACACTTGGACCTAACATGTCCTTGGAATATGATGATAATAATGATGATTATTATATATGCACACACACACACACATGTAAACACAAGAGCAGATGGTTGCCCTTCTTTGCCTCTAGATGCCCCCCCCCCCCTCTATGTATTTGTCTTATGCTTTGAGGTTTTGCAACTTGCTTTGAAGTTTAGGACTAGTGAAAAACATGGAAAAACAAGGAATGGGGAAGGGAGAGGCAAAGCTGGAGCAATTAATTGGTAAAAGCCTGAAGAAGAAAACCATGTACAGGAGCCCACCACTATGGTTGGACTACAGTTCCCATCATTCTTTACCATTGGACAGGGATGATGAAAGTTGTCGCCAGAAAGCACTTAGAGCAGTGTTTCTCAACCTGGGGGTCAGGACCCCTAAGGGGGTCACGAGGCAGTGCCAGAGGGGTCGCCAAAGACCATCAGAAACCACAGTAAAACAGCAGAGAGGAAACAACCAGGCACATCTTAACACCTCTCAACAAAAGATTTTCCCAGGCTCAGCCAGGCCTTCAAATGCTAATGAAGGTGGTCAGTTGAAACATTCACACCTAGCTCCAGCAGAGAAGAGCTCTTTGCCCCACCCCAGCCATTCCACAGATATATAAACCCATTGTCCTAATTCCAACAGACCTCACTACCTTTGAGGATGCTTGCCATAGATGCAGGCGAAACGTCAGGAGAAATGCCTCTAGAACATAGCCCTATAGCCCGAAAAAACCCACAAGAATCTATGATTCTAAGTTATCATATTGTCTGTGTGGGAGGTTTGGCCCAATTCTATCGTTGGTGGGGTTCAGAATGCTGTGATTGTAGGTGAACTATAAATCCCAGCAACTACAACTCCCAAATGTCAAGATTCTATTTTCCCCAAACTCCACCAGTGTTCACATTTGGGCATATTAAGTATTTGTGCCAAGTTTGGTCCAGATCCATCATTGTTTGAGTCCACAGTGCTCTCTGGATGTAGGTTAACTACAACTCCAAAACTCAAGGTCAATGCCCACCAAACCTTTCCTGTATTTTCTCTTGGTCATGGGAGTTTTGTGTGCCAAGATTGTTCAGAAGAGTTCAGAATGCTCTTTGATTGTAGGTGAACTATAAATCCCAGCAACTACAACTCCTAAATGACAAAATCAATCCCAACCCCACCAGTATTCAAATTCGGATGTATTGGGTATTTGTACCAAATTTGGTCCAGTGAATGAAAATACATCCTGCATTTTAGATATTCACATTACAATTCATAACAGTAGCATAATTACAGTTATGAAGTAGCAACAAAAATAATGTTATGGTTGGGTGTCACCACAACATGAGGAACTGTATTAAGGAGCTGCGGTATTAGGAAGGCTGAGAAACCTAGAGGAACACATCGTTCCTTCACTGACCATACACCATGCAATTAGTTGGTCCCATGTCAGTGGGGTGGGAAGTCCATTCCAATTGAAAAGCTTGAAATTTGGTGTGATGGGTGCTGTAGTCCTCTGAGCAGATGTCAGGAGACAATGTAAGAGGCCTAGAGGACAATGCCTCCAGGTCAGTGGTTCTCAACCTGGGGTCCCCAGATGTTTTTGGCCTTCAACTCCCAGAAATCCTAACAGCTGGTAAACTGGCAGGGATTTCTGGAAGTTGTAGGCCAAAACATCTGGGGACCCACAGGTTGAGAAACACTGCTCTAGGTTTTCTCAGGATCCTGGGCATTGCAGTCTCCAAAGGCAAAGGTGCCATCTTGTCAACAAAGGAGGCCAGCATGAGGTTTTTGAAGCCAATTGATTAAGTCCTATCACAGAACAGCATAGTTGAGATTGCTACTAGATTTAGAACCTGAAATCTTGAGAGTACCTCTTATGGTGTTGTAGGTCCCATCTACACTGCCATTATATTGTCAGTGTAGAGCAGTGGTTCTCAACCTTCCTAATGCCACGGCCCCTTAATACACTTCCTCATGTTATGGTGACCCCCCAACCATAAAATTAGTTTCGTTGCTATATCATAACTCATTTTGCTGCTGATATGAATAGTAACAGATCGGGGGAGGGTATTGATTTTGTCCTGTGGGAGTTGTAGTTGCTGGGATTTATAGTTCACCTACAATCAAAGAGCATTCTGAACTCCACCAACGATGGAACTGAATCAAACTTGGCACACAGAGTTCCCATGACCAACAGAAAATACTGGAAGGGTTTGGTGAGCACTGACCTTGAGTTTTGGGAGTTCTAGTTTACCTACATCCAGAGAGAACTGTAGACTCAAACAATGATGGATCTGGACCAAACTTGGCATGAATTCTCAGTATGCCCAAATGTAAACACTAGTAGAGTTTGGGGGAAATAGACCTTGACATTTGGGAGTTGTACTTGCTGGGATTTATAGTTCACCTACAATCAAAGTGCATTCGAACCCTACCAAGGATTGAATTGGGTCAAACTTCCCACACAGAACCTCCATGTCCAACAGAAAATACTGTGTTTTCTGGTAGTCTCTGGTGACCCCTCTGACACCCCCTGGTGACCCCTCCAGGGGTCCCGACCCCCAGGTTGAGAAACACTGCTGTAGAGCCTCATGTAATGCAGACCAAACGGCATTGGATTATATGAGTCGACACCAGGCATGAGCAAACTTGGGCCCTCCAAGTGTTTTGGACTTCAACTCCCACAATTCCTAACAGCCTCTGGCTGTTAGGAATTGTGGGAGTTGAAGTCCAAAACACCTGGAGGACTTAGGTTTGCCTATGCCTGTTTGCACTTTCAGGAGGCACAAGAGCAGCCCTATTTGCTGCATCAGGATGTTTTATGCAACAGCAGAACTTCACAACAGAGTAGAAGAACCCCTTTGGTCCAAGGAGTTGCACAAGGGAAGTGAAGACACATGCTTTTTGCCCCAGGCGGCCCAAGTGGATCTGTTGGGAGGTTGCCCAACTGGAAGCTCAGACTGGTCCCAGTAGGGCCCTGCCCATTTCGGAGGAGGAGCCCAGACTGCCGGCTCCGTGGCTGAGGCAAACCCAAGTCAAGCTTGAGAGGCTGCTCAGACCTGTCTTGGAGCAACCGGCTTCAGACACTGCACCCCTTCTTCTCTCTCTCCCCTTTTGTGCCCTCCTCCAAATGGCCACTTACAAGGTCCAGGTGGCCACTGGTGACTACATGCTAGCTGGCACCTACAGCAGCATTTCCATCACTCTGGTTGGCACCCGAGGCGAGAACCCCAAACATCGGTTGGATAACCGGGGAAAGGATTTCGTTCGTGGGGCTGTGAGTATGATCTCCAAAGGCCTTTGCCCTTTAGCTGGGAGGGTCATGGGCAACAAAACTGGACACCTGGATGGTCCAGATGGGTCTTGAAGGTCCAGTTTCTTGGACACCACGGTTCCTAGATGCACCAGAAGGCATCTGGACAGTGCCAGGATGGGTGAGCAGGGCAGTTGTGTACAAAGCTGGCAATTCACTAAGGGGAAGGGAATATGCTGACTACAAGTTCCATAATCCCCAGGCAATATATCCAAGCACATCTGGACAGGATCAAGATTGGGTGGGCAGAGCAGTTGTGTTGAAAGGTGGCAAGTTGCATAGGGACCTCTTGTCTCGATAAGAGTTGTTTCAGAGCAGAATCGGTGCATCGAACTACAAGTTCCATAATTTCCATATGGTGTTTCCAAGCACATCTAGACTTTTTTTTATTGTGTCAGGAGCGACTTGAGAAACTGCAAGTCGCTTCTGGTGTGAGAGAATTGGCCGTCTGCAAGGACGTTGCCCAGAGGACGCCCGGATGATTTTGATGTTTTTATCATCCTTGTGGGAGGCTTCTCTCATGTACCCGCATGAGGAGCTGGAGTCGATAGAGGGAGCTCATCCGCCTCTCCCCGGATTCGAACCTGCGACCTGTTGGTCTTCAGTCCTGCCGGCACAGGGGTTTAACCCACTAACATCTAGACTGCACCAGGTTAAATATACATGGCAGTTGTGTTAAAAGATTCATGGGAACACCTCAGAAAATTCATGACCGCATCAGACTACAACCCTCATAATCCCCTGACAGTAAGATCCCTTGTCTGAGAGTGAAATAGGTTGTCTTAAGTTGTGGTGAGGTTTTACAGCAAAGCTTGGTTGCATCCACACTGTAGAAATAATGCAGTTTGATACCACTTTAGCTGCCATCACTCAATGCTATGCTCTCTGGGAAGCTGCAGTTTTAGCCTTGACAAAAAGCACTGCCTTTTCTCCAAACTACAGCTCACAGAGCATTAAATTATGGCTGTTCAAGTAAAGCTGCTTTAATTCTACAGTGCAGATCAGTAGTTCCCAACCTTTTTTGACCAGGGACCACTTAAACAGGGACCACTTAACCACTAACTCTCCAACATTAGTACCAAAAAGGGTTACGAATCAGTTTTTGGTCAACTTTAGATTTGGTTTGGTTATTTAGGGTGCTGATTTTAGAAAATTGCATTGGATAGACCACATCAGCTCTAGTTTCTGATACAGAACATATGCCATCCAGTAGTCGCCATCTGCTCGACTACAGAAAACCATATTTAATAACATAGAGATGATGTGGTTGTAGTAATCTTTCGTTAGTAGTCAGCCTCTCCCTTCCAACATCCCCATTGCCTCGGCACTATAAGAGGGTTTCGCAAGACCAGTTACTCTCATTGCTGTGTGATTTTGAGTCATGGTGAGGTCATGTGCCATATTTTTGTTCTTGCGGACCACTAGTGGTCCATGGACCACAGGTTGGGAACCACTGGTGTAGATGCACCCCTGGATAGCTATCTGTCGGGAGGGCTTGGATGGTGTCTTTCCATTGTGGGTGATCCTTGGGACTTTTTCCAATTCTAGAATTCTTGCCCAATGATGCGCAATGGGTTAAACCCTTGTGCCGGCAGGACTGAAGACCGACAGGTCGGAGGTTCGAATCTGGGAGAGCATGGATAAGCTCCTGTCTGTCAGCTCCAACTCCCCATGCAGGGAAATGAGAGAAGTCTCCCACAAGGATGGTAAAACATCAAAACATCTGGATGTCCCCTGGGCAGCATCCTTGTAAACAGCAAATCCTCTCACACCAGAAGCGACTTGCAGTTTCTCAAAGAAAAGAAAAACCAAACTTTATTCTCATTTAGACAATTCAAATGCATCCATTCTTGAAAGAAATTATAATATTCTAACTTTGTATGAAAGGGACGTAAATCAGGGCAGCTTTGAGTCATCTAAGGCCTTGCACACCACATTTTTGTTTTTTCGCTTGCTAAAACAGAAGAAATAGTAGGTCTCCTTGGGAAAGTTCTCTGTTCTTTCTAGCTCTGGGGCCCGATGTTTCTGTAAAGGAAGAATGTCACGAACACATTGGCATGGTTAGCTGAAGTATATCTGCATTTAAGCCTTTGTTATCATATGCATCTCATTGTATTTGCATTGGCTCTGCAAGATTGTGCAAAGCACACAGACGAGGCACAGGTTTGAGATGACTCCATCCTTGTTTTGGACATACTTTGGAATCCAAAGTTGTTTGGATCCCAATGGATTAGAGTCACATAATGCAGTGTGACACCACTTGAACTGCTATGAGACATATAAACATATGAGTCAATGCTATGAAATCTTGGAAGTTGTAGTTTCGAAACTTCCCTCTTCAGTAGAGGAAGCAAAATACATTGGGAATCTACAACTCCCAGGATTCCATCACATTGAGACATTTTTTTTTAATCTTGTTGGCAAATACAGCTTTGTCATCCCTGTAATAATAAACATGTTTGTCTCAACAAAATAAACACTGGGTTTGACAAAGATCTGACAAACACTTGGATTATCGGTTGGTCAATTGTGGTTTCAGATGAGATCTAGGTCAACTCTGCAAAGAAACCCGCTGGTGCTACTTGCACATTGAATAAACACACCCATGAATATGGATTAAACTACAAGTTGCATACATTTTATGGCCTCTGGTTGTGGCAAAAGTCTGTGTACAAGAGGAGGTTCCCATAATTTTTAGACATTTATTGTATATCTTTAATTCTAAGATGCTCTTTCCCCCCATATAAACATGGCTATAACTGGGGCACATCTTAGAATCACAGGTGAATCTTATGTATTTTTGTTGTTGTCGGTTCAGTCAATGGCGTCTACTTATTTAAGAGATATGGTCATTTTAAAAATGGCAATGTTTTGTGTATTGTCGAAGGCTTTCATGGCCGGAATCACTGGGTTGTTGTAGGTTTTTCTGGGCTATATGACCATGTTCTGGAGGCATTTTCTCCTGATGTTTTGCCTCATCTATGGCAAGCATCCTCAGAGGTAGTGAGGCAATGTTTTGGTTTTTTTTTAAAAATTCTTTTTATATAGTGATTTATAATAGTTGCGCCCGTACCTTGGGAAGTCTGATCTGGCCACGGTGGTCCACGCTCTTGTTACATCCCGAATAGATTACTGCAACGCTCTCTACGTGGGGTTGCCCTTGAAGACTGTTCGGAAACTTCAATTAGTCCAACGGGTGGCAGCTAGATTACTCACCGGAGCGTCATACAGGGAGCATACCACCCCCCTGCTATGTCAGCTCCACTGGCTGCCGATCCAGTTCCGAGCACAATTCAAAGTGCTGGTTTTGACCTACAAAACCCTTTACGGTTCCGGGCCAGCGTACCTGTCCGAACGTATCTCCTTCTATGTCCCACCTCGGAATTTAAGATCTGCTGAGGGGGCCCTGCTCTCGGCCCCACCTTTATCACAAGGTGGGGACGAAGGACAGGGCCTTCTCGGTGGTGGCTCCTTGCCTGTGGAATGCACTCCCCGGGGAGATTAGGACATCAACACCCCTCCTCTCCTTCAGGAAGAAGCTAAAAACCTGGATGTGGGATCAGGCTTTCGGGTAAGCTGGCAGATGGACAAAGACAACCAATAATGACAGAGTAGGAAAGGACAATGACAATGCTAAATGGTTTACGGACTGGATTTGGTGAACAATGACCACAAGATGTTTTATTGCTGCTAGTATATTGTTGATTGTTTTAATTAGTGATAACTGTGATTTTATATGGTAAATTTGTGTATTGTATATTCCATTGTATGTTGTAATTGTTGGGCATCGAAGTGTGCCTTGTGTAAGCCGCCCTGAGTCCCCCCTAGGGGGTTGAGAAGGGCGGGGTAGAAGCACCCCAAATAAATAAATAAATAAATAAATAAATACCTCTGAGGATGCTTGCCATAGATGCAGGCGAAACATCAGGAGAAAATGCCTCCAGAACATGGCCATATAGCCCGAAAAAACCTACAACAACCCGGCAATGTTTTGGTTTTTTAAAAAATTRTTTCTTTTCATRCAGCAACTTATCTTCAACCTGGCAAGTTTGGGAGTCATSCTTCCCYTCCAGAGTGTTGGACTGCAACTCCCAGCATTCATTACTGTTAGCTATGCYGGCCAGGGCTAATTTTATCYGTGCCTGATTWAAAAAATCCATATRRTGTCGAATGAATGCACTTTGGCACCACTTTAATGGCCCTCACTCSATGTTATGGAACCTTAGGAGTTGTAATTCTACCAGGTYTTTAGCATTCYCTGYCCAAGAGTCCTGARGCATCACCAAACTACAACTCCCAKGATTCAGTWRCATTGAGCCACGGCAGTTATAATGGTGTCAAGTGTATTCGTTCGACTATGTAGATCAGTGTTTCTCAGCCTTCCCAGTGCCGCGACCCCTTAATACAGTTCTTCATGTTGTGGTGACCCCAAACCATAAAATCCTTTTTGTTGCTACTTCATAACTATAATTTTGCTACTGTTATGAATCGTCATGTAAATATCTGATATGAAGGATTTATTTTCATTCATTGGATGAAATTTGGTACAAAAACCTGATATGCCCAAATTTGAATATTGGTGGGGTTGTGGGGGGATTGATTTTGTCATTTGGGAGTTGTAGTTGCTGGGATTTATAGTTCACCTACAATCAAAGAGCATTCTGAACTCCACCAAGGATGGAATTGAACCAAACCTGGCACACAGGACTCCCATGACCAAGAGAAAATACTGGGAGGGTTTGGTGGGCATTGTCCTTGAGTTTTGGAGCTGTAGTTCACCCACATCCAGAGAGCACTGTGGACTCAAACAATTATGGATCTGGATGAAACTTGGCAGGAATACTCCACATGCCCAAATGTGAACACTGGTGGAGTTTGGTGAAAATAGACCTTGACATTTGGGAGTTGTAGTTGCAAGGATTTATATAGTTCACCTACAATCAAAGAGCATTCTTAACCCCACCAACGATAGAATTGGGTCAGACTTCCCACACAGAAACCCCCATGACCAACAGAAAATACTGTGTTTTCGATGGTCTTTGATGACCCCTCTGACACCCCCTTCACAAACCCCAGGGGTTTCCACTCCCAGGTTGAGAAACGTTGGTGTTGGTGCTCCCATAGGATCTGTTAGTTTGTTCTTAAGTTGAATTTGTATGCAAGTTGGAATGGGTACATTTTTAAGTGTAACTCCAGCCAAATATAGATTTTGAATAGCATAGGGAAGAGTGAACACAAGAATTGGAGATATCAATGGAGACGCCTTTTCCCCATGGTAATAACTCTTCCAAGAGTGAATTTCCCTTCTGAGGGGTAGATTTCTCTCACCTCCTGTTGTCTCACCCATGTCCTTTGTAAGTCAGATCTTTGCAACTCAGGGACTGTGTGTCTTCTTTTTTGTTTCTGCAGGTGGATGAGTACGAAGTGCCTTGCGAACATGACCTGGGCCCCCTGGTCCTGATCCGACTCCACAAGGAGCCCTATTTGTTCTTCCCCGAGGACAGCTGGTATTGCAGTTACGTCCGGGTGACCAACCCGCAAGGAGAGACCTACCACTTCCCCTCGTACCAGTGGCTGGAAGGATACAGAACCCTAAATCTCCGGGAAGGGACAGGTAGGGTGCTTTGGTCCTTTCCATAACAGCAAGGAGCAAGTTCAGAAAGTACAGGAAGTCCCTTATGCAATGGCTTTCTAATACAGTAGAGTCTCGCTTATCCGACCTTTGCTTATCCGACATTTCGTCTCTTTTCCTCCAGCATTTTCCCTCCAATTGAAGGAGCGCTCCTCAACTCTCTCTCCATTCCCATTAAGTGAGAAAGGCAAGATGAGTAGGAGGGAGGAAAGGGGGAAAAGAGGCAGGACCGGAGGTGGAAGTGTCCTCCCTCCTTCCCTCTGTGATTTCCACGCTCCTCTTCCGCATCCGGGCACTTCCTGCTGGGCTGCTCCAGCCCTGAGGTGTTGCCTTGTCTCAACCCTTTGAGTCCCTGTTGTTAGTCTTCTAGGTGTCTAGTGTCGCGTTGGATGGGCAACAGTAGGAGACTCCGTATTACCTGACATTTTCGTTCATCTGACGTTCGGCCGGCCCGTTTATGTTGGATAAGCAAGACTGTACTGTATTCCTCTTCATTGGAGGTACCATCATCCCCTGCTTGTTCAACAGGCGAGGGATCAGGGTACTGTCCAAAAGCGGAAAGGGTTTTTTGGTCGTGTCAGGAGCAAGTCGCTTGTGGTGTGAGAGAATTGGCCGTCTGCAAGGACGTTGCCAAGGGGACGCCTGGACGATTTGATGTTTTTATCATCCTTTTGGGAGGCTTCTCTCATGTCCCCACATGAGGAGCTGGAGCTGATAGAGGGAGCTCATCCGCCTCTCCCCGGATTCGAACCTGCAACCTGTCGGTCTTCAGTCCTGCCAGCACAGGGGTTTAACCCACTGCGCCACCAAAGTGGAACCCAGTGTTTTAGCTTGCAAATCCAAGACTGAACACTAGATGGTGTTGAGATAATAATAATAATAATAATAATAATAATAATAATAATACTTTATTCGTACCCCGCTACCATCTCCCCAAGGGACTCGGTGCAGCTTACATGAGGCCAAGCCCACAACACATCAATAAACAAAAGCAATAACAATAATCAATACAAAACAGTTAAAATAAACGCAAAAACAGAAAATACACAATAAGCAACTGAGAGCATAGGGTCAAAAGAGCGGACCAGTAATCGAAAGTATGTTATATGGCTATAATTTAGATTTGCAGAAATGTTGAAAAAATAAATGATAGAAAAGCAGGCAATGGTTATTTGAAGGGCGAAGTTGGGCAGTGCTCAAACACAAGCACTTTGCTTGAAGTTATGGGCTGGATTACATGATCTCAATGGTCTTTTCCAACTCTACGATTTAGAGAAGCTAGATGTGTAGATAACTCACCAAACTGCAATCCTAGACTCTCAATGTGTTGAGCCGCAACAGTTAATATGGTGCATAATTCTTCAATACGGATACAGCCAACAGTGTGGCTTTGGAGCAAGTTTTTCCTGCCTTTTCATTTTTTTGAGATGTAATTGCATTCATTATTATCTTCCTTAACTCTGCACTTTGCTTGTCTCTTAATCTTCCTGCAGCCAAAACGGTCGCCGATGACTCAGCCGCCCCACACCTTCTGGAACTTCGTGCAGAGGAGCTGAAAAAGCGGAGGAGACTCTTCAGGTGAGCCGGAGGTTTGTCCGTGCCGGGTTTGAGTACGAGATTTAAAGGAAGGTGTTCAAATTAGGTAGAGCAGCTTAGGTTGGTAAGGTAATGTTTGGACCAAACCCTGGAGCAGATTCAGAACCCAGACTACATCTACACTCTAGAACTACTTCCAGGATTCCATAGCCTAGAGCAGGCATGGGTCAACTTGGGCTCTCCAGGTGTTTTGGACTCCAACTCCCACAATTCCTAACAGCCTCAGGCCCCTTCCTTTTCCCCCTCAGCCGCTTAAGCGGCTGAGGGGGAAAAGGAAAGGGCCTGAAGCTGTTAGGAATTGTGGGAGTTGAAGTCCAAAACACATGAAGAACCCAAGTTGGCCCATGCCTGGCCTAGAATCATGGAATTTCAAGTGCCGTCAAACTACATTAATTCCATAGTGTAGATGCACCCTATGTTAATGAGCAGGAAAATCAGTTTCTAACTTCTGAAAGAATCGGAGCCTCTCCTACAATTTATGCAAGCGAAAGTGTGAGAGATACTATTTACATGTCTGAAGGATTAATTGTATATATAATATAATATAATATATTTAAACCATCAGTTGAAATATGTTATGTATTAGAATATCAGGAAGTCAATTAAAAATCAATAGATGCTAATGAGGTTAAAGTTGGAAATTCAGTATGCTTGGTTTCACATGAAGGCATGATTAATCATGTGCTAAATGTTGGTTTTGTTTTAAATATGCATAGTATGATAATTAGAGAGTAAATTTAGATAGGATTTTGGCCAACTGTCAAAGTATGTTGGCCCATTGGGTGTGTAAAGTCACCATGAAATGAATTAAATGAGTTGAAAAAGTGAATCCATAGATTCATCAGGTTGGACGGGACACCCAAAGTCCATCCAGTCCAACCCCCAACCATGCAGAAAGACATGATCAAAGCCCTCCCTACAGATGGGCATCTAACTTTCTAAATAATCATCTCCAATCTCTCCTTCTTGCAGGAAGGACTAACTTTACAGTAAGGGTTAATACAATGGCCCCAGGCAGAGGGATCAAAACATACCAAAATGACCCCTAGAGGTCATGGGGTCACTCTATTCACCAATATGGGTCAATTGAGGACTTTTGGGGAAAACCAGAAGTGACATTCCTTTGGGTTGAGTTGTTCCAGCTGTTCTTTTTCACCACAGTTATGGGGAATATGCGCCCGGCTGGCCAAGGTGCCACAATGTCAGTGATGTCGATGATCTGGATGCAAACTCAAAATACCTCTTCAGTATGTCTGCCGTCTTCGCCGTTCGCGCCGTCAAGTCGTGAGTCTCTTTGGCCGGGGATGTTGTGGTTTGGGTTGGCCATTCCTCAGTAGCAATTGACCTCCATGGGGACTACAAATCCCATCAGCCCCAGTACTGGGAGCGATGGAAGGTGTAGTTCCAAAATATTTAAAGGGTCACAGCTTCCCTGTCTCTTATGGCAGACCACCCTGGAGTTGGATCTGCATTGCCATATAATGCAGTTTGAATCTGTGTGATATGGTCAGTGTGTGGACTAGGCATGGGCAAACTTCAGCCCTCCAGGTGTTTTGGACTACAATTCCCAAGGAGTTGGAAGTGCAAAACACCCGGAGGGCTGAAGTTTTCCCTTGCCTCCTCTAGGATCACATATCTACTTTCTTAACCCTTTCAGTAGACTGTGCTGTGAACACATGTCCATTAGAACTGTATTTTTCCACATTGGAGGAATTGGATTGTACTTTTAATGTCTATACTTTGTAGGTTTTGAATTGTAATTTGCACTGTTTTTAGTGTTATGAATGTCAAGCCAAGAAAGCAGATAACAACAACAACAGAGTTAAGGCAGTTAATGTGGTATCAAACTTCCTTAATTCTACAGTGTGGATGTACCCATAAAGACACCCAAGATCTAAAAGTTAGGATTTCATAGAATCATAGAGTTAGTAGTAGCCCTCAAAGGCCATCCAGTCCAACCCCCCTTCTGCCAGATAGGAAGACACATTCAAAGCTCTCCTGACAGATGGCCATCCAGTCTCTTAAGAACCACCAGAGAAGGAAGCCCCATCACCGTGGCAGGCTGGGGATTCTGGGAATTGCAGTCCAAAACCAAGATCCATCACATGCTCAGGTCACGCCACATTCAGAGGGTTGGCACAAAAGGTGGCAAAAGTTACCCTCCGCACCACATCAGCAAACGAGCATATGAAGCATCCCACATTTCCCAATTTCAACCCACGCCGTCACACTGACCTCACCCAGAAATACATTCACGCCCATAAACCCCGTGCTTGATAAGATTTTTCACTACTCAGATGTTCCCACAAGTCTGTCGCCTGTTTGTCTTGTCGATCTGGATTGGGAGATGCATTTTTCTCTCACAGTGAGAACTTGCAATAGCCTTGATAATGTACTGTATGAGAGAAGGTGCATCTACACCAGCCATGGGCCAACTTGGGTCCTCCAGGTGTTTTGGACTACAACTCCCACAATTCCTAACAGCCTCGTGCTCTTTCCTTTCCCCCCCTCAGCCGCTTAAGCGGCTGCTTACACTGCCCCCCCCCCCCCCTCAGCCGCTTACACTGTAGACTGAATGAGGTTTGACACCACTTTAACCCATGGTTCAATGCAATGGCATCATGGGAGTTGCAATTTTGCAAGGGTTTTAGACTTCTCTAGTATTGGGGCCTCTCCAAACTACAAATCCCAGGGTTGTATAGCCTTCAGCCATGGCAATTAAAGTGGCATCAAAGTGCACCAAATCTCCAGATGTAGACACACTCCTAGTTTCTGGGGTAAAGTTTCCGTCATGGTCAGTCCATCACAGTCTACGCTTTGGAATGTATTGTGTTTGCAAATAGGTATGAATTATGCTTCTCCGCCTGCTTCTCCCGCTACTGTTAGTGACAACCACATTCTTATTATTATCATTATTCCTGTATTGCACATCAGCTAATTAAAATTATTGTAAATCTACGCCTTATGCAACCTGAAAGTTGCAGTTATCAAAGCTACCCTGAAGCACGTGGCGGACTTATATAAATCCATACCAGCTGATTTTGCGCAAACAAGAGACTGGTTCTTAGGGCAATTATTCAATTAAACAGCAATTTTGCAAGCCTACCTCTCTATTAGATTCCTATAGCTAGCCTTCAGGCTGTGTTCAGCAGTGCCACCTCTCGGTAGAGACTGGAATAGCAATTAACAATAGGAAACAGTCAAGTTGAGTTTGGCACTTGCAACAAAACAGTTGGTTTTCTGAATCCCTTTCCTCTTCTTTGTCTCCAGGGAATTTGAGCTCAGGCTGAAAGGATTCTCAGGTCTCCGGGATTCCTGGAAAACCCTAGACGATATCCGCAAAGTCTTCTGGTTCAACAAAACGGCTGTTTCTGGTGGGTCCCCCTTGAGTTGGAAGAGACCTCTTGGACTATCCAGTCCAACCCCCTGCCAAGAAGCAGGAAAATCACATTCAAAGCATTAAGGTGGTAATAGGTGAATCCTATTAATGGGGCATGAATATTCTCAGTGTTAGTCTAAACCGGTAGGCTATTAGGAATTGTGGGAGTTGAAGTCCAAAACACTTGGAGGGTCGAAGTTTGCCCATGCCTGCCTTAGAGTAATATGTGGGATTATTCTCAGGAGACTCAGTCCAGATTTTGTTAGACTCCCATCATTCCTAGCCCCCAACAGGGATGCTGGGAACCAGCTCTTATGGCAGTGCCATAAGAGCTGCTTGATCCTAGCTCTAAATGTGGACTGTAGTAAAAAAAAGGAATATTTATGTGTGTGTGTGTTTGTGTATAAATAAAGTATTATTATTACTACTACTAGCACCGGGATTGTTGCGCAGCTGGCTGAGTGTCAGCTGCATTAAGATCACCCTGACCAAAAGGTCATGAGTTCGAAGCCAGCCCGGGTTGGAGTGGCTTTCCAACCAATTATGTGTAGCCTGTTATCGACCTTTGCAACCCGAAAGACAGTTGCGTCTGTCAAGTAGGAAAATAAGGTACCACCTTAAAGTGTGGGGAGGCTAAATTAACTGATTTATGAGGCCGTAAAGAAGACTCCAGCAAAGCATTCCAGCGGGGAAGCATGCGGGGAATGCGGAAGTGCTTCATCAGCGTTGCAGACGGACGGTGAAAGCGACAGCTCACCTGGTGGCCAGAAAAAGTTAAATAGCCTCTGTGTATGTCTGTACATGTTTGTATATCAAAAATTGGCATTGAATGTTTGCCATATATGTGTACACTGTAATCCGCCCTGAGTCCCCTGTGGGGTGAGAAGGGCAGAATATAAAAGCAGTAAATAAATAAATAAATAGTACTAGACTAGTAATTAATATTGCTTCCAACAACAATAATTGACACCCATTGTTTCATTTTTATGCTCGCTACTGCAGAATACGTCACAGAGCATTGGATGGATGACGATTTCTTTGGTTACCAGTATCTGAATGGGGTCAACCCTGTGATGATCCGGAAGTGCACCCAGATCCCCGACAACTTCCCTGTCACTCAAGAAATGGTGGGTGGTTGCTTGGGCACCTCCACCTCCCTCCAGGAAGAGTTGCAGGTAACTCACACCTGTGTTTAAAGGTTTAATGCCAGAGTCCATGGCTTGATATTGGTGAATTATTATATATTTATCGTGTCAGGGGCAAACCAAACAGTTGTATTGCATTTTTAACAAACAAACAAACAAAACACAAAGTTTGCAAGCTTGGTAGTTGATTAGATGTTCTTTGACTAGTACCTGGCCACGTGAAGTGCCTCTGGTGTTGCCGCAAGAAGGTCCTTCATTGTGCATGTGGCAGGGCTCAGGTTGCATTGCAGCAGGTGATCTGTAGTTTGCTCTTCTCCACACTTGCATGTCATGGATTCCACTTTGTACCGCCTTTTCTTGAGGTTGGCTCTGCATCTCGTGGTGCCAGAGCGCAGTCTGTTTAGCGCCTTCCAAGTCGCCCAGTTTTCTGTGTGCCCAGGAGTGAGTCTCTCATTTGGTATCAGCCATTGATTGAGGTTCTGGGGTTGAGCCTGCCACTTTTGGACTCTCGCTTGCTGAGGTGTTCCAGCGAGTGTCTCTGTAGATCTTAGAAAATTATTTCTTGATTTAAGTTGTTGACGTCCTGGCTGATACCCAAACAGGGGATGAGCTGGAGATGTCACTGCCTTGGTCCTTTCACTATTGGCTGCTACTTCCCAGCGGATGTCAGGTAGTGCAATACCAGCTAAACAGTGTAATTTCTAAAGTGGTGTAGGGCGCAGACACCCTGTGATAATGCAGCATGTCTCATTAAGAGCCACATCTACTGTTTTAGCATGGTGAGATGTGTTCCACACTGGGCATGCATACTCAGCAGCAGAGTAGCATAGCGCAAGGGCAGATGTCTTCACTGTGTCTGGTTGTGATCCCCAGGTTGTGCCAGTCAGCTTTTGTATGATATTCTTTCTAGCGCCCACTTTTTGCTTGATATTCAGGCAGTACTTCTTGTAGGTCAGAGCACGATGCAGAGTGACTCCCAGATATTTGGGTGCGCTGCAATGCTCCAGTGGAATTCCTTCCCAAGTTATCCTCAGAGCTCGGGATATTGGTGAATACAAACTTGGTTTTATAGCAGCTGCTCCAGATTTGATGGAGCATTAGGTGGGGAGCTATCCAAGGTGCTGAACCTGTTTTCTAACAAGAGAGCTCCCTCTTTGTTAAACCTGAAGTAAAACCAAAGCTGGATTCACCACCACAAAGCTATACTATGCTTCTATACTATGCTACTATAACACCATAAGAGGTATACTATGCCATGCTAGTGTCACATCATAAGAACAAGAGTTGTCCCTACATTTATACTAGGCTCTGCTACTATGACATCATAACAACTATATTATGCTATGCTACTATGACATCACCTGAACTACAGTTGTCCATCTCCATTTATACTATGCTTTGCTACAATGATGTTATAAGTAGTATACTATGCTACGCTATTATGACATCACAAGAACTACAATTGTCCCTTTCCAATTATACTATGCTTTGCTACAATGACAACATAAGTACTACAGTTGTCCTATAAATCCTCATTTAGCCATGGTAGTGCCTTGGGTGGTCTTTGGCAAGTCACACTCACCCAGCCTTAAAGGAAGGCAGTAATGAAGCACCTCCGAATATATTTTGCTAATTTATTTATTTATTTATCGTGTCAGGAGCAAACCAAACACTTGTATTGCATTTTTTAAACAAACAAACAGACAGACAGACAGACAGACAAAACATAAAGTTTGCAAGCTTGGTAGTTGATTAAATGTCCTTTGACCAGTATCTGGCCACTTGGAGTGCCTCTGGTGTTACTATAAGAAAGTGCTCCATTGTGCATGTAGCAGGGCTCAGGTTGCACTGCAGCAGGTGGTTAAATCCTCATCATAAGGTTTCCATAAATCAGCATTGAACAACCACCACCACAACAGATGTTGGCTGGCAGGTTACAGTCCAAGAAAGGCACCTTTCCCCATGCTTTGGAAGTTCTAATCTGGAGCATTTGGGAGAAGAGGAATCAAGCTCAGATATTGTATATGAATACCTTCAAGGCACCGATTGAGCTATGGCAACCACATGATTTTTGTAGGGTTTTCTTGGGCAAGGAAACCTCAGAGGTGTTTTCCCCCCCACTTCCTTCCTATGAAATAGAGCATAATATTCTTTGGTGTTCTTCTATCCAATTCCTAACTAGGGCTGACCTGCTTAACTTCCAAGATCAGATAGGATTTGGTGCCTTATTGGTAGGACTCCATGAAAATTCCAACTGATGTGTCTTTTAATGGAGTTGGTGTGTCAATGTAATCATAATACATGTATGCTGTGTCCTAAATCTCTCACGTGGTCACGTCTCTCTCTCTCTCTCTCTCTCTCTCTCTATCTCTCTCTAACTCTTCCAGAAAGGGAACATCTTTATCGTGGACTACAAAATCCTTGATGGCATCCCAACATGCGAAATCGAGGGGAAACCCCAGTACATCACAGCCCCGCTCTGCTTATTGCATCTCAATTCCAAAGGACAGATGATGCCTTTGGCCATCCAGGTATCAGAGGTTTTGAGTTGGGTTATCATCCCTTCTTTGGTGAAAATGCATCACTGGAGTGGTGCATCCACTATGGGTGACGGATAAAGGAGCTATCCCAACTATTCATTTCAGCACATTGGAGAGCTCCCCGAAGTTATTTATTTATTTATTTGCTATACTTGTATACCGCTGCTTCTCAGCCTAGCCGGCGACTCAGCGCGGTTTACAACAAAATATAACAATCGGCAATATACAGTTTAAAAGCATAAAAACATAGTACACAATACATATATCAACAAACAATCCAATTCAACTCCTGACTAAAATCGTAATCCAGTTTCGTCGTCCATAATTGCCAATCCTTTAATCGTTACATTCCTTGCACTGAGTTAACCGAATGCCTGCTCGAACATCCAGGTTTTTAGTCTTCTTCGGAATACCATCAATGAGGGGGCTGATCTCACCTCCATGGGAAGGGCGTTCCATAGCCGCGGGGCCACCACAGAAAAGGCCCTGTCTCTCTCTCGTCCCCACCAGCCGCACCTGTGAAGCAGGCGGGATAGAGAGCAGGGCCTCCTCAGAAGATCTTAGGGTTCTGGCGGGCTGATAGGCCGAGATACGTTCGGATAGGTAAGTTAGTTGGGCCAGAACCGTTTAGGGCTTTAAAGGCCAGCGCCAGCACTTTGAATTGAGCTCGGTAGCAGATCGGCAGCCAGTGGAGCTGGTGCAGCAGAGGAGTTGTATGCTCCCTGCGCTCCGCTCCTGTTAGTATCATGGCTGCCGAGCATTGGACTAATTGGAGCTTCAAAGCTCCAAGTTAAGCTCAAAACCTGGAGCAGAACATGTTCTTGGAGCCTTGTGGGACAAATCAATCTAAATATGGGTTTTGTTCCTTCTCCACAGATTCAGCAGACCCCAGGTGCTGGAAATCCCATTTTCTTGCCCACAGACCGCAAATGGGACTGGACCCTGGCTAAGATCTGGGTGCGGCTGGCCAACTTCCATGTCCATGAGGTCAACATCCACCTTCTTGAAGCCCACTTTCTGGCAGAAGTCTATGCCATGGCCACCCTTCGCCACCTTCCCATGTGCCACCCCATCTTCAAGGTAAGCCTTTTTTGGACTCAACACTCATCCAACCTGGAATATTAATGTGAGAATGAACCATTTCTAGATCAGTGATTCCCAGACACTGCCTCAAAGTGTAGTAGAGTCTCCCCTGGATGTTTTTCAGCAGAGGTTGGGTGGCTATCTCTTAGGAGGTTGTATTTTCCTGGATTGGTTCTCTTCCAGCTCCATGATTCTACCATTTTCCATAACCTTGTCCAGATATCAGGAATTCTGGAAGCTGAAGTCCAAAATACTTGGAAGACCAGAGTTTAGAAAACACTGTTCTAGACAAACCTCCAGTTTTCCTTTGGTGCCTCTGAAAGCAAAGTATGCATTTTAGTTTTTTTTTTATTTCAGAAGCAAAACAAGGTATCCTAGAATCCATCAGTACTGTAGAATGGAGGCAGTTTGACTTGAACTGCTGTGGCTCAATGCTATGGAATCTTGGGAGATGTAGTTCCTTCAAGGTCTTTAGCCTTTTCTGCCAAAAAGTGCTAGTTCTTCAACAGATCACAGCTCCCAGGATACCATAGCATTGAGCCATGGCCAAAGTGATGTTAAACTGCATTAATTCATCAATGAAGATGCAGATCTACTCCTCATCACTCTCATTGACTGAAAACATGTCCCCTAGCTTCATTGCATTTCAAGGAGAAGCTTTTGAAGTGGCCAGGAACTAACTTCCTGTTTTCAACAAAGCCTTCTTCTGGTCTGAAAATGTTCTGCATTTGTTGTTGTTGTTGTTGTTGTTGTTGTTGTTGTTGTTGTTGTCATCCCATTTTCTTCTCCAAAAACAAGATTCAAAGTGGCTCTAAAATATGTAATGAAAGTGCTCCTCAAACTATCAGAGGATATTGGGGCTAAAAGTGACCCCTGGGGGGACAATGAGGGTGACCAAAATGAACCAAAGACATACACTTTCCCCATCTTTGTTATATGGAAATGATTTGGAATGTGAAACCTAACCATAGACCTTGTATATTGTGTTCCTCCCTTATAGCTTCTGATTCCTCATACTCGCTATATATTCCACATCAACACTCTCGCCCGGACCAGTCTTCTCAAAGCTGGAGGGTTACTCGATACGGTAAGCGCATCCCTTATGTTTGTCCTGATTAGATACGAAACATCCCATTTAATGTATAGTTGAAGGTTTTCAAGGCTGGAATCACTGGGTTGCTGTGAGTTTTCTGGGCTGTATGGAGTTTGTTTCTTTAGGTCCAGATTGCTGGTTTGCCTCTAGAAGTTTCATGAAGGCCCAGCACTCTTTGGCAGAGAAGACAAAATACCCTGTAAAACTACATCTCTCATGATTTCATGGCATTGAGTCATAGTGATTAATAAGTTGTCAAACTGTATTCATTGTGTTGTCGAAGGCTTTTATTTATTTGTTTATTTATTTATTTAGAGCATTTGTATCTCATCCATCTCAACCCCCGAAGGGGGGCTCAAGATGACTTACAATTGGCAGACATTAGATCACAGAATCATAGAATCCTAGAGTTGGAAGAGACTTCATGGGCCATCCAGTCCAACCCCATTCTGCCAAGAAGCAGGAAAACTGCATTCAAAGCACGCCTGACAGATGGCCATCCAACCTCTGTTTAAAAGGCTACTAAGAAGGAGCCTCCACCACACTCTGGGGCAGAGAGTTCCACTGCTGAACAGCTCTCACAGTCAGGAAGTTCTTCCTCATTTTCAGATGGAATCTCCTTTCTTGTAGTTTGAAGCCATTGTTCCGAGTCCTGGTCTCCAGGGCAGCAGAAAACAAGCTTGCTCCCTCTTCCCTATGACTCCCCCTCACATATCATGTCTCCATTATGTCTCATCTCAGACTTCTCTTCTTCAGGCTAAACATGCCCAGCTCTTTAAGCCGCTCCTCATAGGGCTTGTTCTCCAGACCCTTGATCATTTTAGTCGCCCTCCTCTGGACACATTCCAGCTTGTCAATATCGCCGTTCAATGCCAACAAAGAAATGGGTAGAGCACTAACAATTAACATAAACAAGTCAATAGCAATAAAAATACATTAAAAAGCAATAAAAATACATTGAAATATTGGCCCTTGAAATATTAACACAACCAAGTCTGAATCCGCAAATCCAAATCATAGTCCAGAGTTCCAGTCCAAGGTCTCTTAATTGACAGTTCTCGCGAGTCATTACAGTTATAGCTCAGCCAGCTGTCCGAATGCTTGGTCCCAAAGCCAAGACTTGGGTTTCTTCCTGAAGGAGAGGAGAGAAGGAGTTGCCCTGATTTCACTGGGGAGTGCATTCCACAGATGGGGGCCACCATCAAGAAGGCCCTGTCTCTCGTCCCCGCCAATGGCACTTGCAAGGGTGGCGGGATCAAGAGCAGGGCTTCCCCTGATGATCATAAACTCTGAGGTGGGTCATAGAGGGAGATACATTCAGACCAGTAAACTGGCCGGGATTACTGGATTGCTGTGAGTTTTCTGGGCTGTCTGGCCATGTTCCAGCAGCATTCTCTCCTGATGTTTCACCCCCATCTATGGCAGGCATTCTCAGAGGTTGTGAGGTGCAACTCTCAGGGTTTCAAGGCATTGAGTCAAAGCAGTTAAAAGGATATCAAACTGCATTCATTCTACCGTGTAGATGCACCCCATATCTCAAGAGATACTCTGCTCATCTTATTTTGATTCCAATGTTTCTTTCATTGTTGTTCTTTTCCTCTGCAGTCGACTGCAACAGGCCGGGATGGGATGCTGCAACTGCTGGCCAGGGGCATGCAGACTGCTAAATACTCCTCCCTTTGCCTCCCCGATGACCTCAAGGAACGAGGCGTCAGTGAGCTTCCCAATTATTACTACAAGGAGGACGGGATGAGGATCTGGACTGCCATAGAAAAGTGAGTCCACGTCTAGTTTGCAGCCTGAATTTCAGGAAGGAACTGGTTACACCAACTCCTGGGCCTAAGAAAGCCCTGGATCTGAATGCAAGGGAGTTAATTGTAGACGCCAAATTGTGTGGAAAGAGCACATTTCCCTTCTCCTTCCGCTTCTCCCTTTGGGATGTCTTTCCACTCAGTCAGCTTATTTTAATGCTCACCTTGAGGCAAAGTTGGAAATGAGATCTATTCTTTATTTGCTTGCTCATTCCTAAGAGTGGTGATTAAGAAGGGAACAAACCTCAAACTTGTGTCTTAAGGACTTTCTGTAACCGTTCTTTCCCCAGAACAGCTCATTAAGGAGATCTGCGTGAATTGCATCCAAGTCACTGGGTCAATGAATCCACTCCAGGTTTTAGCCTGAACTATAAAGGATCTGCCCAAGATTGGGTGGCTGTGAGTTTTCCCGCTGCCCACATCTATGACAGGTATCCTCACAACCTATGACGATGCCTGCTGTAGATATGGGCAAAATGTCAGTAAAGAATACTTCTGGAACATGGCCATACAGCCTGGAAAACTCACAGCAACACAGTGATTCCAGCCATGAAAGCCTTCAACATCCCAAAAGTGAGCCCCCGGTGGCGTAGTGGATTAAACCCCTGTGCTGACAGGACTGAAGACCGACAGGTCGCAGGTTCAAATCCGAGGAGAGGCAGATGAGCTCCCTCTATCAGCTCCAGCTCCTTATGCGGGGACATGAGAGAAGCCTCCCAGAAGGATGATAAAAACATCAAATCATCCAGGCGTCCCCTGGGCAATGTCCTTGCAGACGGCCAATTCTCTTATACAGGGAGTCACTCCTGACACGACAAAAAAAAAAAATCCCAAAATTGTTGGGTGGGAGAAGAGAGATTAATTCAGATGGGTTTTCAAATGGCTTTCCTTTGAGGCCGAGACAGTGTGACTTATCCAACACTACCCAGTGAGTTTCCATGGCCATATGGAGATCCAAACCCTGGCTTCCAGAGTCATAGTCCAGAGTGCAAATTACTGTATTGCGTTGGCTGTCATCTCTCCAAGATGCTGCACCTATTAGGAGAATCATAGATAGAAACATAGAATCATAGAAGAAAAAAAAGATGAAAAAGCGGAGGAGGCAGAAGAGGAGGAAGACGAAGATGAAGAGGAAGGGGGAAGAAGAAGAAAAGAAAAAAAGAGGAGGTAGAAGAGGTGGAAAAAAGAAGAGGAGAAGGAAGAAGGAGAAGAGAAGAAGTAGTGGAGGAAGAAGAAGAGGAGGAGGAGGCGGCAGAAGAGGAGGAAGACAAAGACGAGGAGGAAGAGGAAAGGAGGAAGAAGAAGAAAAGAAGAAAAAGGAGAGGAGGCAAAAGAGGAGAAAAAAGAGAGAGGAGGAGGAAAATAAGAGAAGAAAAAGAGGAGGCAGAAGAGGAGAAACAAGATGAGGAGGAAGAGGAGGAGGCAGAAGAGAAGAAGAGGAGGAGGAGGAGGAAGAGGAGTGATGTAGATGTACCCAAAGTGGACCTTTCTTGCATTCCCATGTAAGAGAAATATGAATTAAAGCATGGCAATGTCTCCATTTGGGTATGCACCCATAGTAGACTTAAATGTACAAAAGCTTATACTAACAACTTCTTTTTCTCACTGAGTCCCAAAGGTGATACAAGATCCCTTTTGCTTATTGATCCAGACTATGGCTATACAATAGATAGATTATAGATAGATAATCCAAAAATGACAGTTTCCAAAGCTCAGACATGCAGTGACAGCTTTGAATCATAGACTCATAGAGTTGGAAGAGACCTCATGGGCCATCCAGTCCAACCCCATTCTGCCAAGAAGTAGTAATATTGCATTCAAATCACCCCTGACAGATGGCCATCCAGCCTCTGTTTAAAAGCTTCCAAAGAAGGAGCCTCCACCACACTCCAGGCAGAGAGTTCCACTGCTGAACGGCTCTCACAGTCAGGAAGTTCTTCCTCATGTTCAGATGGAATCTCCTCTCTTGTAGTTTGAAGCCATTGTACCGCGTCCTAGTCTCCAGGGAAGCAGAAAACAAGCTTGCTCCCTCCTCCCCGTGGCTTCCTCTCACATATTTATACATGGCTATCATGTCTCCTCTCAGCCTTCTCTTCTTCAGGCTAAACATGCCCAGCTCCTTAAGCCGCTCCTCATAGGGCTTGTTCTCCAGACCCTTGATCCTTTTAGTCGCCCTCCTCTGGACACATTCCAGCTTGTCAATATCTCTCTTGAATTGTGGTGCCCAGAATTGGACACAATATTCCAGGTGTGGTCTAACCAAAGCAGAATAGAGGGGTAGCATTACTTTCCTAGATCTAACGCTATGCTCCTATTAATGCAGCCCAAAATCCCATTGGCTTTTTTTGGCCATCCAGCCTCTGTTTATTTCCATGCATTAACATGATCAATATGAAGACATTTGATAAATATTTTCCTCGGATCCCCATTCCTTCCACATCCAGGTACGTCTCTGGTATTGTTGGTTTTTACTACAAAAGCGATTCCATGATCAAGGACGACAAGGAATTGCAAGCCTGGATACAGGAGATCTTCAAGGAAGCTTTCTTGAGCCGGAAAGACTCAGGTAGGCCTCTTGCTGTTTCTCTGAGTTTTGTTCCCAGCTGCTGCTTTCTGTTGTAATTATTTTCATAACATTAGGTGATTTTAAACTTTTTGTTTTTAACATTTTTATGTTAATACTAGCCGCCCCCTGCCACGCGTTGCTGTGGCCCACATGGGGGTTCTGTTTGGGAGGTTTGGTTCAGTTCTATCATTGGTGGGGCTCAGAATCATAGAATCATAGAATCAAAGAGTTGGAAGAGACCTCATGGGCCATCCAGTCCAACCCCCTGCCAAGAAGCAGGAATATTGCATTCAAATCACCCCTGACAGATGACCATCCAGACTCTGTTTAAAAGCTTCCAAAGAAGGAGCCTCCACCACACCCCGGGGCAGAGAGTTCCACTGCTGAACGGCTCTCACAGTCAGGAAGTTCTTCCTCATTTTCAGATGGAATCTACTCTCTTGTAGTTTGAAGCCATTGTTCCGCGTCCTAGTCTCCAGGGAAGCAGAAAACATGCTCTGTGATTGTAGGTGAACTATAAATCCCAGTAACTATTTTCCCCAAACTCCACCAGTGTTCACATTTGGGCATATTGAGTATTTGTGTAGAGTTTGGTCCAGATCCATCATTGTTTGAGCCCACAGTGATCTCTGGATGTAGGTGAACTACAACTCCAAAACTAAAGGACACTGCTCACCAAACCCTTCCAGTTTTTTCTGTTGGTTATGGGAGAACTGTGTGCCAAGTTTGTTTCAATTCCATAGTTGGTGGGGTTTGGAATGCTCTTTGATTGTAGGTGAACTATAAATCCCAGCAACTACAACTCCCAAATGACAAAATCATTTTTTTAGTGAAGGACATACATTGGGTTGTTAGGTACATGTCTTGTGTCCAAATTTGGTGTCAATTCCCCCAGTGGTTTTTGAGTTCTGTCAATCCCACAAATGAACATTACATTTTTATTTATATAGATTTATATGCTGTAGGTTTTAAAATGTATTGTTTTTGACATTATGAGCCACTTTGAGTCTCATATGTCATTATGGTGAGCCAATCCCTTCAAACCCCTCCAGTAGGCTGAGTTAGTCATGGATGTGCTAAGTTTGGTCCAGGTCCATCATCGCTGGAGGTCACAGTTTCTCTGGTTGTGGGTGAACTACAACTCCCAGAAAGTAAGGTCGGTTCCCCCCAAACCCCTTCAGTAATCAAATTTTGGCATATCAGGTCTGTGTGCCAAGTTTGGTCCAGATCCATCAGTGTTTGGGTTCACAGTGCTCTCTGGATGTAGGTGAACTACAACTTCCCCAAATCAAGGTGAATTTCCCCTATAGACCTCCCCCTGTATGACCAGCATGACCTTTCTGCTGGTCATGGGGGCTCTGTGTGCCAAGTTTGGTCCAATTCCCTCTTTGGTGGAGTTCAGGGTGCTCATTGATTGCAGGTGAACTATAAATCCCAGTATCTACAATTCCAAAATGTCCTGGCGAATTCACCTCAAAACCCACCAGTATTCAAATTTGGCCATATTGGGTATGCATGTCAAGTTTGTTCCAGATCCATAATTGTTTGGGTTCATAGTGCACTCTAGATGCAGGTGAACTACAACTCCTCTAAATCCCTCTAAAGACCTACAGTATTTTTTTCTTGCTCATTGGGATCCTGTGTGCCAAATTAGTTCCAGGTCCATCGTTGGTGGAGTTCAGAGTGCTCTTCGATTGCAGGCAAACTATACATCCCAATAAATCATGGTGAATTATCCCCAAACATCTTGAGTATGTTCAGTTGCTGATGTGTGCCATAGAAAAGAACAGGAAAGGGTTATGGGAGAGGCAGTGGGTGGAGTCATGCAAACTCCACACCAGAGGAGAGAGTAAGGAACACTGGGATGTCTGTGGTGGAGAAAAAACAAAATCTAGGATGAAATGGTCCCCATATGAACGCCTTCACTTGGGTGATGGGCAGTGTGGTGTTTTTGGAGGACATTGGCAGGACTCTTGGACATGTTCATGGTGCTCACTATAACTTGCAATGTTATTGGAGGGAGGGCCATTGGTGTTTCCTGAATAGTGGGAGCTATAGTTGTGGATGTGGGAGTTTGTCTGTGTAAGTGGAAGAACTTCCTGACTGTGAGAGCTGTTCAGCAGTGGAACTCTCTGCCCCGGAGCGTGGTAGAGGCTCCTTCTTTGGAAGCTTTTAAACAGAGGTTGGATGGCCATCTGTCAGGGGTGCTTTGAATGCAATTTTCCTGCTTCTTTGCAGAATGGGGTTGGACTGGATGGCCCATGAGGTCTCTTCCAACTCTATGATTCTAAGAGGATACCCCAGCCACAAACATACATACACATTTTTACTTTTAATATGTGTGTGTGTGTATTACAATAACAACAACAATACCCATATTTCTTCCATTTGAATATGCCATTGACAGTTAAGATGCACATATTTTGCCCATCTCTCCGTGTTAAAAAAGTAGATAGACGTAGATCTGGATATGTATGTTATAATATGTATTCCAGCCTGTATCCTTGTATTTGCTAGTTTAGACCCTGATACGCTATTTTGTAACCCTAGAATCCAACTTGTGAATTTTCCTCTCTGGAATGTGCAGTTTAGGGAGATAAGATATTGACTGAAACCAGACGCTGTCACCTAAAAATCCCTATTTCTGAATGCAAAGGTCTCTGCTAGTCAGAACATGTAGAACCTCTCAATGACCCTTGGGAGCAGCTAGCTATCAAGCTCTTTGTTTGAATTAAGACACGCATAGCATTAGCTAAACCTTTGCTTGCAAAGCTCCTAAATACATTTTAAGCCTTCCATGAAGTTTTGTTTGCCCAGCCTCCTTGTTGCACATCAGCTCAGCTTGCAAAGTTCTTGATGTGAAGTGTCTTTGGAGTGCTAAATCTCAGCACCAACATTTAATCATACGACTCAGATATCTATCTATCTATATATAAATGCTCTGTGCATAATGAGTACCTCAAAAACAAAAGAACCAATGAACGAAATCACGCCAAATTTGGCAACAAAACATCTCACAACACAAGGAGTGACCATCACTCAAAACATTATGATTTTGTCATTTGGGAGTTGTAGTTGCTACAATCAAAGAGCATTCTGAACTCCATCAACGAACCATTGAACCAAACTTGGCACAAAGGACTTCCCTGACCACAGAAAACACTAGAAGGGTTTGGTGGGCATTGACCTTGAGTTTTGGAGTTGTAGTTCACCTACATCTAGAGATCACTGTGGACTCAAACAATGATGGATCTGGACCAAACTTGGCACAAGCACTCAATACACCCAAATATGAACACAGATGGAGTTTGGGGAAAATAGACCTTGACATTTGGGAGTTGTAGTCACTGGGATTCACAGTTCACTTACAATCAAAGAGCATTCTGAACCCCACAAACGACAGAATCGGGGCAAACTTCCCACACGGAACCCCCATGACCAACAGAAAATACTTAAGGCCATCTAATCCAACTCCCTTCATCAGGGCAAGAAAATGTAATCAAAGTCCTCCTGACAAAGAGCCATCCAGCCATAGATTAGATAGATATAGATAGATAGATAGATAGATAGATAGATAGATAGATAGATAGATAGATAGATAGATATGATTCACACACACACACAGATATAGTATCATAGATTTGAAAGGGACCCCTAAAGAAGGACAATGATATGTTGCATGTTCCAGATTGGGCAAACCAGGCACTCTCCACATCAACACTGACAAAGAAACAGTAAGAAATACTGTTTACCCACAAGCATAAAGAAATTATATATCTTAGAAACCAACACTTTCTCATTATTTTCCAGATCAACAGACTGGGCCACAGCAACGCGTGTCAGGGGACAGCTAGTAGAATATATATGCTTTATCTAGATGCTGGAGCCTATTTCTGTTGGTTACTAAGGGCTCTTTGATGCTGCCATATAAAAATCAGATTATCTGCTTTGAACTGGATTATATGGCAGTGTAGACTCAGATGATCCAGTTCAAACCAGGTAATCTGGATTAGCTGTTTTGATAATCTGGATTATATGGCAGTGTAGGAGGGGCCTGAATCCTATTGAGTGGTCCCAACCAGAGAAGACATGGCTTGTGAGTCAACATATAAGTAAATCTTCTGATTCAGTAGGGCTACTCTAGTTGGTAGGTGCCATTATATTGCTGTATATATTTGTCTTCCTTTCCTTAAAGAACATATTTTATAGGATTTCTATAATATTTTAAATCAAGTGCCACATGTCTTAAGATAAATACTGAGTGAGTATATCCCTTGAAGCTGATGCTTTAGCTGTGTTATGTGTTTGTAACTGACTGTAAATGTTGTTTTAATGCAACATATTCATGAAGATAGGCGAGTAAGGAATCATTATAATAATTATAATTATTTCTTACTCATCTATAGTATCTTCATGGATATGTCTTCTTCCACCACCTCTTCTTCATTTTCCCCTTCCTCCTTTTATCCTCCTCCTCTTCTCTTCTTCTTCCTCCTCTTCTTCCTCCTCTTCTTCTTCCTTCTCTTCTTCTCTTTTGCCTCCTCCTCTTCTGCCTCCTCCTCCTCTGCCTCTTCTTCTTCCTCCTCTTCCTCCTCCTCCTCCTCTTCTTCCTCTTCTGCTTCCTCCTCCTCTTTTTCTCCTCCTCCTCCTCTTCTTCTCCCTCTTCCTCTTCTTCCTTCTCCTTTTCTTCTCTTCTGCCCCCTCCTCTTCCTCCTCCATCTTATTTCTCCTCTTCTGCATCCTCCTCCTTTTTCTTCTTATTCTTCCTCCTCTCTCTCTTTTCTCTTCTTCTGCCTCCTCTCCTTTTCTTCTTCTTCCTCCTTTCCTCTTCCTCCTCATCTTTGTCTTCCTCCTCTTCTGCCTCCTCCTCCTCCTCTTCTTCTTCCTCCACTATTTCTTCTCTTCACCTTCTTCCTTCTCCTCTTCTTTTTTCCACCTCTTCTACCTCCTCCTCTTTTTTCTTTTCTTCTTCTTCCCCCCTTCCTCCTCCTCTTCGTCTTCCTCCTCTTCTGCCTCCTCCTCTTTTTCATCTTTTTTCTTCTTCCCCCCTTCCTCCTCGTCTTCGTCTTCCTCCTCTTCTGCCTCCTCCTCTTTTTTCTTTTTTTCTTCTTCCCCCTTCCTCCTCGTCTTCGTCTTCCTCCTCTTCTGCCTCCTCCTCTTTTTTGTCTTTTCTTCTTCTTCCTTCCCTTCCTCTTCCTCGTCTTTGTCTTCCTCCTCTTCTTCCTCCTCCACTACTTCTTCTCTTCTCCTTCCTCCTCCTCTTCTCCTTCCTCCCCCTCTTCCTCCTCCTCTTCCTCTTCTTCTTCTACTTCTCATTCTTCTAACACAAATAGGACTTTGAGAGGAAAATACAGTAAACTGAACATGTACCCTCATAACCATAAACATGTATGAAATTATTCTGAATTGCTTGGGGGGAAACTAAACTTCCTTTCCATCCCAAACTTCCTGTCTGACCCACAGGTGCCCCTTCCAGCCTTGAAACTGCAGCTGAGCTCATCAAGTTCCTCTCCATGATCATCTACTGCTGCTCCGTCCGACATGCGGCGGTCAATAGCGGCCAGGTACCTGGTACCATTTTATCCTTTTCCAATATCCTCGGTTCATCGTAGTCCCTTCCACACTCTCCCATGTGTATACCCTATACCAGGCACGGGCCAGTTTGGGTCCTCCAGGTGTTTTGGACTTCAGCTCCCACAATTCCTAACAGCCTATCGGCTGTTAGGAATTGTGGGAGTTGAAGCCCAAAACACCTGGAGGGCCAAAGTTGGCCCATGCCTGATCTCCACTATAGCATTAATATAGAATTCCATCACATTGTTTCCCTTACTTCTTTACATCTTTTTTGTGTGTTTTATGTGACAGTTTGATTTTGCTGCCTGGATGCCCAACACGCCGGCCACTTTGCGGCAGCCCCCTCCCAAAGTCAAGGGCACGGCCTCTTTGGAGAGCATCCTGGACACACTCCCTGATGTCAGCTCCACCTGCTCTTTGTTGGTGGTCCTCTCCGTCGTGAGCTATGAGCTAGGAGATCTGGTGAGTGACCATGGAGTGGGACGGGAGGGAAAGGAAAAGAGGGACCTCTCAACAAAAGGGAACCTATAATATCAAGTAAAAGATTTCGGTGGCTCTTGCTTGCTGTCTAACAAAATCGGAGACATGCTGATGACTCATCTCTTTACTGCAACTTGATTACTTTCCCCTAGTAGCAGGATGGGGGGAAAAGAAAAAAGTGGCATCCCAGACCAAATAATAATAATAATAATAATAATAATAATAATAATAATAATAATAATTTATTTATTTACAGCTTTTATATTCCGCCCTTCTCACCTCGCAGGGGACTCAGGGCGGATTACAGTGTACACATATATGGCAAACATTCAATGCCAATTTTTGACATACCATCATATACAGACATACACAGAGGCTATTTAACTTTTTCTGGCTGCCAGGGGAGCTGTTGCTTTCATCGTCCATCTGAGATGCTTATGAAGTATTTCCGCATTCCCCGCATGCTTCCCCACTGGAATGCTCTGCTGGAGTCTTCTTTATGGCCTCATAAATTATTTAATTAGGCTCCCCACACTTTAAGGTGGTACCTAATTTTCCTACTTGACAGATGCAACTGTCTTTCGGGTTGCAAAGGTCGACAACAGGCTACACACAATTGGTTGGAAACCCACTCCAACCTGGGCTGGCTTTGAACTCATGACCTTTTGGTCAGAGCAGCTGACACTCAGCCAGCTGCGCCAAAATCCCGGTGCTTTACTAGTACTGTGTTTTATATTTTCTCTATTGGGTGTATTTCAAATGTTACACCGTTAAGCTGAATTTCTGGCATTGCAGAGGGATTGGTTGGTGCCTGCTGATGTTCAGTGAGAGGTTTTCTTAATGTTCAGTGAGAGGCCAAGCTTTTCGTATACTCCTGCAAAGGTGTTTAATGTCACTTGTAGGTCTTCTTCTGAATGAGCAGAGACTACATTGTCATCAGCATGTTGGAGTTCTATAACAGAGATTAGTTTTGGTTTTCAGTCTGCTGAGGTCAAATAGCTTGCCATCTGTCCGATAGATGATTTCCATGCCGGTGGGAAGCTTCCCATCATATCAATACCTTGGCAGCCACCTCTCCAAAAAAGTGAACATTGACATTGAAATACAACACTGTCTGAGCTCTGCGAGTGCAGCATTTTTCCAAACGAAACAGAGGGCTCTTCCACACAGCCATATAACCCAGAATATCAAGGCAGAACAACCCACAATATCTACTTTGAACTGGAATATCTGAGTCCACACTGCTATATATCCCAGTTCAAAACAGATAATGTGAGATTTTATTCAGCTGTGTGGAAAAGGCTAGAGAGTGTTTGAGGACTGAGACATTTGTAGGGATACCAGCATGCTTATTTGTAAAGCTATTGTCTTCCCACCCTGTTATATATTTATTTCTTTACAGTATTTAGATTCTGCCCTCCTCACCCCGAAGGGGACTTAGGGCGGATCACAATGCACACATACATGGCAAACATTCAGTGCTCTTTTTAAGACATACCAAAAAAAAAAACCAATGGGATTTTGGCCTGCATCAATAGGAGCAGTGTCTAGATCTAGGGAAGTAATGCTACCCCTCTATTCTCGCTTTGGTTAGACCACACCTGGAATATTGTGTCCAATTCTGGGCACCACAATTCAAGAGAGATATTGACAAGCTGGAATGTGTCCAGAGGAGGGCGACTAAAATGATCAAGGGTCTGGAGAACAAGCCCTATGAGGAGCGGCTTGGGGAGCTGGACATGTTTAGCCTGAAGAAGAGAAGGCTGAGAGGAGATATGATAGCCATGTATAAATATGTGAGAGGAAGCCACAGGGAGGAGGGAGCAAGCTTGTTTTCTGCTTCCCTGGAGACTAGGACGCAATGGAAGAATGGCTTCAAACTACAAGAGAGGAGATTCCATCTGAACATTGAGGAAGAACTTCCTGACTGTGAGAGCCGTTCAGCAGTGGAACTCTCTGCCCCGGAGTGTGGTGGAGGCTCCTTCTTTGGAAGCTTTTAAACAGAGGCTGGATGGCCATCTGTCAGGGGTGATTTGAATGCAATATTCCTGCTTCTTGGCAGAATGGGGTTGGACTGGATGGCCCATGAGGTCTCTTCCAACTCTTTGATTCTATGATTCTACAAGACAGACAGAGATACCTTGGCATTTTCCAAGTTTGGCGTCTGGAGGTTATGTTCTATTAAGGCCACAGGGAGGTGCTGTTGCTCCATCCACTATGACGACAAGAAGTTTTGATCACAGAATTTTCCTTCCTTTGTTCTGTAATCTTTTGTTCTGCATTTTTATGGTGTTGTAAAATACCTCCCTGTTAAGTGGTGCCTAATTTCTCTACTCACAGCTCAGCTGTTTTCAAATTTTTTAGGTGGACAGTGAGCTAAGCTAACTATCAGTTGCTCAATCCGACCCGGGCTTCGAACTTGCCACCTTTGGCGATATATATATATATATAAGCAGAGGATAGGCACCTATCTTTCATGGATGTTGTAACTGCATTGTGCATTGCAAAGTCTACATAGAGGTTCGGAGGAAGGTTGGAAAGGGGAATCCTTCCAGATTTACAAGTCTATGATCCCTGGATTTAATTTAGTTACGTTGCACTGTTTCTTCATAAATTCTTTTCACCAAAGGTACCTTGTAATGTTGATTAAAAGATCCCTGGGAAACTTAATTACTGTTTCCTACTAGTGAGAACTTTCATTATTGATTGCATTTTGTTTTTCTTTGACTTCTCTAACTCAGAGATAATTAATTAGCAATGCTCAAGCCAGACTGAATAGTAATCAACAAAAGACAAAAGACACAGGAAGGAAGCTTCTAATAAAAGATACAGTAGCCCTGTAAAATATTGTTAATATTTTAGATCACACTGTACAGGATGGCCCTGCCAACCATATTATACATGGAAATGATTTGCCATATTTGGAGCTGTAAAAGAGCAGCATATAGATGCTTACAAACACTGGGATGTAATTAACTTCAAATAATGCCTAGTTCAGGCCTGGGCAAACTTCATCCCTCCAGGTGTTTTGAACTTCAACTCCCACAACACTTGTATTTGCTAGTTTAGATCCAGATACACTATTTTGGAATGTGCCATTTGGGGAGTTGAAGTCCAAAACACCTGGAAGGTCGAAGTTTATTTATTTATTTAAAACATTTGTATCCTGTCCTTCTCAACCTCCAAAGAGGGACTCAGGACGGCTACCAACAGGCACTATTCAGTGCCAACACAAAGTAAAACATAGCATAAAATACAATTAACACAAATTAAAACAGTTCTAAATATACATCAAAACAATTCGCTGGTTCAAATCACCATCCTAAACAGTCAGTTGTAGTCCATTAAAAATATTATCTTTCCCAACAAGTCAGTTTATTCTGCAAACGCTTGATCCTACATCCAGGATTTAAATTTCTTCCAGAAGGTTAGGAGTGAGGGGGCAGATCTGATCTCATTAGGGAGTGGGTTCCAGAGCTGAGGGGCCACCACAGAGAAGGCCCTGTCTCTCATCCTTATCAAACGTGACTGCGATGGTGATGGGATCCGGTTTGGGACCCTCCTACCTGCGTGACCGCATTTCTGTGTACGAACCCACACAACCCCTTCGATCATCTGGAGAGGCCCTGCTCACACTCCCACCTCCATTGCAGGCATGATTGGTGGGGACGAGGGAGAGGGCCTTCTCGGTGGTGGCCCCTCGACTATGGAACTCACTCCCCAAGGACATCAGGCATGCCCCAACTCTGGCAGTCTTTAGGAGGAGCCTGAAAACGTGGTTGTTCTAGCGTGCCTTCCCAGAATAAGGAAACTCCCAGCATTATGTCCTCTAAATGCACTTTACTATGGATCTAGGAATGTCTGCCTGTCCCATCCCTCTCTGAAAACTCTATCCTAGTTCATATTCATCTGTTCATGCTCGGCATTATCTTTAAATTTTAATTATTGCATCTGCCCCAGCCATAGGTCTTAACTGTCGCTGTGTTATTGTTAATGTTTATTGCTTTTTTTGTTATGAGTTTTATTTTATTGCTTTGTATTATTTGTTGTTATTGCTTTGTGATTGATGTGTTGTGGGCTCGGCCTCATGTAAGCCGCACCAAATCCCTTGGGAGATGGTAGCGGGGTATAAATAAAGTTTTATTTTTATTATTATTATTATCAAGAGCAGGGCCTACCCGGACTATCGTAAGGTCGTTGGTGGTTCGTAAAGGGAGATAACGTTCTGACAGGTAAACTGGGATGGTTTACTTTATAGGCTAAAGCCAGCACTTTGAAGTGTGCTCAGAAGCTAATAGGTAGCCAGTGGAGCTGGCGTAACAAGGGAGTTGTATGCTCCCTGTACCCCATTCCTGTGAACAACCTGGCTGCTGAGCGTTGGACTAGCTGGAGCTTTGCCCAGGCCTGATCTGTAGGCACCTATATCTGTTTCTTGTCTCTCTTTCCATCCCACTCAACTCTCTTTCTCTTTTTCAGAGGCGCCTGGGCCATTTCCCCGATGAGCATTTTAGCGAAGAGGAGCCCAAAAGACATATGGCTGCTTTCCAAGCAAGTCTGGCTGCCATCTCTAAGTCGATTGAGGAGAGGAACTCAGTTCTAGCTCTTGCCTACAACTATATCAACCCGGCTGTGGTGGAGAACAGCATCACTGTCTGAGCTCAAAGGGGACGTTTCTTTGCCTCCAGTTTCCATCCTTGTAACTTTTTAGGAATGACAATGAAGATGGATTTTTTCCATTTTGACCTCTGAAATCACTTTGATGTTTATGGGATGTTCTTCTTTTGCAATGGATGCTCTATACTGCCAGGAGGCTGGACTAGATGTCCTTTAGGGTCCCATCCAGCTCTACAATCCTATGATGATTTTGTTTCTCTTTCAAGCTCATGAGTTACCCATTTTGCATGTTGATTTTTATGGCGAGATGGGAACAAAGTGAAATAAATAATGTTTTCATTTATAATCAATCAGTCAATATGTTTATTAATGTTTTCTTAATCAGCTAATCAATATGTTTATTATACTAACCAAAAGCCATGGCAAAAAGCTATAAAATGTATATAACATGGATAAATAAACAGTCTTACACTTAGAAATACTGAAGTGACAAGGCCATTTATGATTATTTCTGTCATTGATTGTTGTGATTTCTTTATTCGATGCCATCAATGTGCATGGTGCTTTACAAGGGAAACAGCTCAAAACAAAGGCATGCATAGAATATATGTATATACATGTACACACAGAGGGCCCCTCCACACAGCTCTATATCCCTGAATATCAAGATAGAAAATCCCACAATATGTGTTATGAACTGGGTTATCTGAGGCCACACTCAGATAATGTGGGGTTTTGTGTCTTGATGTTCTGGGATATAGGACTGTGTGGAAAGGCCCAGAGAGGAAAGAAGACTAAGGGCCCTTCCACACAGCCAAATATCAAGGCAGATAATCCATAATTTCTGCTTTGAGCTGGATTATAGAGTCCAAACTGCCACATTGAAATCCAGTTCAGTGTGGATTTTATACACACTGTGTGGAAGGGGCCTAAAGCTCACCAAACTAAACAAATTATATAGCAAATTATCAGGATAAAATACCAAAAATACAATAAAATGTAAAGCAAACTGACTCAATTCTTACAAACTTTTGGTGTAGCAGCGGGAAGCCCTTTGGCCCCCTCCTTGGCTAATCTCTTTGTTTCCAATTTAGAAAAAATGTGGGTTTTGAATCAAACTCAAAACAGATCACTGCAGGATATGATATATTATGGGAGACCAAAGCAGAATAGAGGGGTAGCATTACTTCCCTAGATCTAGACACTATGCTTCTATTTTGGCCTGCATCAATAGGAGTGTAGTGTCTAGATCTAGGGAAATAATGCTACCCCTCTATTCCGCTTTGGTTAGACTACACCTGGAATATTGTGTCCAATTCTGGGCACCACAATTCAACGGAGCCCCGGTGGCGCAGTGGGTTAAAGCCCTGTGCTGGCAGGACTGAAGACCGATAGGTCACAGGTTCGAATCCGGGGAGAGGCGGATGAGCTCCCTCTATCAGCTCCAGCTCCAGCAGGTACATGAGAGAAGCCTCCCACAAGGATGATAAAACATCAAAATCATCCGGGCGTCCCCTGGGCAACGTCCTTGCAGACAGCCAATTCTCTCACAACAGGACACTCCTTACATGACAAAAAAACCAAACAAACAAAAAACCACAATTCAAGAGAGATATTGACAAGCTGGAATGTGTCCAGAGGAGGGTGACTCAAATGATCAAGGGTCTAGAGAACAAGCCCTATGAGGAGCAGCTTAAGGAGCTGGGCATGTTTAGCTTGAAGAAGAGAAGGCTGAGAGGAAATATGATAGCCATGTATAAATATGTGAGAGGAAGCCACAGGGAGGAGGGAGCTTCCATGGAGAATAGGACAAGGAACAATGGAACAATGGCTTCAAACTACAAGAAAGGAGATTCCATCTGAACATGAGGAAGAACTTCCTGACTGTGAGAGCCGTTCGGCAGTGGAACTCTCTGCCCCAGTGTGTGGTGGAGGCTCCTTCTTTGGAAGCTTTTAAACAGAGTCTGGATGGCCATCTGTCAGGGGTGATTTGAATGCAATATTCCTGTAGGGGGTTGGACTGGATGGCCCATGATGTCTCTTCCAATCTTTGATTCTATGATTCTATTTATTGATGATATTTTTTTAATTTGTAAAACGGAGGAGTCAGCAATTCAACTTAGCAAATGGCTTAACACAATTCATGAAAATATAAAATTTACAAGTCACACTAGTATTAATTTCTTAGACATCACAGTATTTAAAAAGAACAACAGATTAGCAGTTAAGAACTATAGAAAACCAACAGACGAAAATTCCATACTACATTATTCTAGCTTCCACCACCACAAATTGAAGTCCAATTTACCTTTCCCACAACTCCTGAGGTTGAAACATAATACCAGTACTCCCAAGAATTTCACAACAGAAATTTCGATCTTTAAGAAACAGTTTAGTGAGAGAGGTTATCCAACCAGAATCATCAACACAGCTATCAAAAAGTAATCTCTATAGATAGAAGTGACTTATTAAGAGACCTAACAAAAAACACACTGACCGTATTGTTTGGCCATTGACCTTGACATGGTTAACTCCAGAAATCAACAAAATAGTGAGGAAACATTGGCACCTAATTAGGGATATGCCAGGATGCCAAAACTTACCTATGATAGCGTATAATAAGAAATAATAATAAAAAACTTTATTTATACCCCGCTACCATCTCCCAAGGGACTCGGTGCGGCTTACATGAGGCCGAGCCCACAATACATCAATAATAAAGCAATAACAACAAATAATACAAAACAATAAAATAAAACTCATAACAAAAAAGCAATAAACATTAACAATAACACAACGACAGTTAAAACCTATGGCTGGGCCAGATTTAATAATTACAATTTAAAGATAATGCTGAGTATAAACACTCAAGAAATCTAAAGGACACGCTAATTAGTTCTGACTTCATAACTCCCAACATCACTAAGAAATCCAAACTTAGAGGCCACTTTAACTGTGGACATTGCATTTGCTGCATGCAGTCACTTCAAATTAAACATTTCACACACCCTACCTTGAAATTTAACATACAACTATGAACTTTTACTACATGTAACACAGATTCTGTTGTTTATCCAATCGAATGTCCCTGTGAGCTCCTCTATGTAGGTATGACAAACAAGACCTTTAAAAATCAGAATCCTTGAACATCACTCCCGTATTAAAAATAAAGCTTCAGATTCCGCCCTCTACTTGCATTTCATTGAAAAATCTCATTCCTATACTAGTTTCAGTATTTGTGCTCTAGAAAGGATAATCACAAAACCTCATGGAGACACAAAAAGGATTTTACTGTAGAGGGAAGCCTTTTGGATATCGAAACTACAGACGGTACACCCACATGGTTTATATGACAGATTAGATCTTACTTGTTTTCTGTAATTGCCTGTAATTAGCTGATAATCTTTAAGAGGGAGTAGCCTCTGTGACCTAATTGCTCACTAATGGAAGTCAGTAGTATGCTACCCTTTTTGAAACCTCGCAGCAGAGCCATTCATTCAGAAAGTAAGTATGTTATTGTGTTTAATTGTTTATATAAGGATTATCATATTGTAACTGGGTGCTTATCTATTATTTTGTCCTCTTTAAATTTAGTTTATAAAGCCTCAGAAGATATTATTTCTTACTCATGAAGAAACCTTGAAAGAAACCTGAAGAAGGGATAACTCCTCCTGAAAGAAGGACTATAAACACCCGGGAACCTTGTTGTGTATTCCTAAGACTTTTTATCATATCTTGAATTCACATGGGACAATACTGAATTGTTGACCTTTGTTCACACAACCTTTGGAAGATCTGACTAATTATTTTGGAAAACATGAATATTATGTTTGTTACACCATTGTAAATAGTCCCTATGTGTTTGTTTCCCATGCTTGTGTACCATACGAGTTAGTTTGGTATTCTCCTCATTATTTCAATTGGTATTTTTGCTGAAGTTTATAGCAAATGGACATTTGTGTATTGACTTGCAGCTTCAAAGCCTGGCTGCTTCCTGGGGGAATCCTTTGTTGGGAGGTGTTTTCTTGATAAATATCAACACAGCTAATAATGTTTTGCAGCGATTCCCCAAGTGATTTACCTAAAACAGTTGATACAAACACAATCTTCAGTGCACAGAATAGGTTCGGAGCCATGAATGGTCTTTCTTTGAGAACTGTATAGCAAAAGGAAGAATCCCAGAGTGGGAGTGCTGCCTTGAAAATAATTATTGGAAACTTTGTGCAGTTGACATCATTGCAACTGTCTTTGGAGTGGTCCAGATAAAGGGAAAGACAGCTAGTAACATATAAGGGCTCAGGTTTAGTGCTGCTTGGCTGGTTATTTATGGAATGACAGGCAGTTCCCATTGGCTGGCATCTCATTGGCATTCCCTCTGTACCTATATGAACCATGACAACACAATGGTCCCCAGTGTGTAAGGTTTTCTATTCCATTTCAATATGTGTTCTTGCATGGACACTACCAGGGCAAACAGAATAGATTTCTTCCAGTAAATAGTTGCCATGCAGGAAGAGCTGGCATAGAGGTCTTCTGGGCACCAAGGCTGAGCTCCTTGCCAACTCGGATTAGATGTTCCAGCAAAATTGGTCTTGCGTGGAAAGAGCCACCCAGTGTTTGACGTACCAATGGAGATTATCGTGAAATTGGGATGAAGGGAGCCATTGCTGAAGATCTCAGCTGATTTAACCTCATGACATTGATAGGATGGAACTTGTTTTCCTCCACCAGTTTCCTATAATCAGATTTAAGAGTGAATCAAATTACCATTTGCCTCAGTTATAGGCACAAAGATCATGATGGTCATACAATGCTGCTCCCACCCCATATTCTTCTTCTGTTTCTTTATATTTTCACCCAAATAAGAGCTATGGTTAATGGACGGTGGGAAACTGTGATCACAAATACCCAATACATCCAAATTTGGGGTTGGAGGGGATTGATTTTGCCATTTGGGAGTTGTAACTGCTGGGATTTATAGTTCTTCTACAATCAAAGAGCATTCTGAATTCCACCAATGATGGAATTGAACCAAACATGGCACACAGAACTTCCATGACCAACAAAAAATACTGGAAGGGTTTGGTGGGCAATGACCTTGAGTTGTGGAGTTGTAGTTCACGTACATCCAGAGAGCACTGTGGACTCAAACAATGATGGATCGGAACCAAACTTGGCACAAATACTCAATATGTCTAAATGTGACCACTGGGGGAGTTTGGGGAAAATAGACCTTGACATTTGGGAATTGTAGTTGCTGTAATTTATAGTTCACCTACCATCAAAGAGCATTCTGAACCTCACCAATGATAGAATGGGCCAAACTTCCCACACAGAATCCCCATGACCAACAGAAAATATTGTGTTTTCTGATGGTCTTTGGCAACCCCTCTGACACCCCTTCGTGGCCCTACCAGGGGTCCCGACCCATATGTTGAGAATTTTTTTTTAGGGGTTTGATGAGGCCCCAGCACTCTTTGGCAGAGAAAGCGAAATACCCTGTAAAACTACGTCTCCCGTGATTGCATGGGATTGAGTCATGGCGATTAAAATGAGTCAAACTGTATTCATTCTGCAGCATAGATTTATTCACTGCACACTCCAGTCTGAATAATGTCAGAACCAAATTATGGAAAAATCTGGAACTGTCTAATTAATTAATTACTTCATTTAAACCCTTACTTTCTCACCCTGCAGGGGACTCAAAAGACTCATTCAACAATGGAGATGCACCCTAAGTTGGCCTCCTTTTATCCTCCCGACTTGCAGAAAATGCAGCCTATGTTATTGCAAAACAGGTCTTGAAAATTCAATTGAAGGCAGAATAAATATAATTTTGGAGCTGTCTTTGTGGTCATGTAAAAAAATGAAAAAGGTGTGGCTAAAAATGGCAGCATCTTTTAGTTTATAGTTCCCATAAACCAAGGACTCGCCCAAATTGGCCAAAAGCCAATAGGTGGGCCTATATTATTAGGGATAATTAATCCCAACCGTCATGTATCTAAACTCTTGGTGATGGAGATGTTTTGGCTTCCCAACAATGGAGCTGTAGGAGTTCACCTGGAGGGCATCTACACTGCGGAATTAATGCTATGGCTCAGTAGTTTTACAAAGAGTTCTGGTGCCTCCATAAACTATAACTTCCTGGATTCAATAGAATTGATCCATGACAGTGAAAGTATGTGTCAAATGTTATCAATTCTACAGTGTAGATGCAGCTTAAAAGCCAGAACTTGTATCTATATCAGGCATGGTCAAGCTGAGGCCCTCCAGGTGTTTTGGACTTCAACTCCCACCATTCCTAACAGCCTCAGGCCCCTTCCCCCCCCCCCCAGGAACTTAATTATCCATCCATCCATCTATAGCTATATGTCTCTCTATCTCTATCTATCTATCTATCTATCTATCTATCTATCTATCTATCATCTATCTATCATCTATCTATCTCTATCATCTATCCATCCATCCATCCATCCATCCATCCATCCATCCATTTATAGCTATATGTCTCTCTCTCTCTGTCTCTATATCTCTATCTCTATCTATCTATCTATCTATCTATCTATCTATCTATCTATCTATCTATCTATTTATCTATCTAGATATCTAGATATCTAGATATATAAATGCAATCTGCACCCTGCCCTGTTGCTACCCAATTGGGATGGTTGAAACAAATGGGATCTGTAGTCCAAACAACAATGTATTCCCATTCTTGGTGATGGAGGTGTTTTAGCTTCCCAACAATGGGTGCCACTACTTTAGCTGCCATGGATCAAAGCTATGCATTCAGGGGAGCTCTAGTTTGACAAGGTCTTTCATCTTCTCTACCCAAATAGGCTGGTGCCTCACCAAATTACAACAACTGGGATTCCGTGGCATAGATCCATGACAGTCAGTGCACAATGGGTTAAACCCTTGTGTCGGTAGGCTGCTGACCAATAGGTCTGTGGTTCGAATCCGTGGAGAGCGGGTTGAACTCCCTCTGTCAGTTCCAGCTCCCCAAGCAGGGACATGAGAGAAGCCTCTTACAAGGATGGTAAAATATCAAATATCTGGGCATCACCTGGGCAAGGTCTTTGCAGACAGCCAATTCTCTCACACCAGAAGCAACTTGCAGTTTTTCAAGTTGCTCCTGACACACACAAAAAAATCAAACTGCGTTACTTCTTCCAGGAATCGGTCTCCAAAGCTTGAGCTTCCAATCCACCTGGGAAACACACCTTGTGGGATGTACTTGCAAAGCATCCCTATCTACCTGGATGGCTTTCCACCTGCCTCTCCATCCCTTTGCGTAGGAGTTGGGAGGAGACCTTTTGTAAAGCTTCACAGGGACAGCCTGGCTTCTCCTGCCCGCCTCAACCCTCCTGGGCAGAGAAGCGGGTGAACAGGCTCGTCTTGTCCCTTTTCTGTAGCCAGATTCCCAGGAGCAGACCAAGGAAAGCAGGCAATTCCCTTCACTGGGTCATTTTCCCTCGAAGTTTGCTACACGGCACCATGGTGGTCACCTACAAAGTCCGGGTGGCCACTGGAAACTATCTCTGTGGAGGGACCATGGACTCCATTTCCATCACGTTAGTGGGATCCCAAGGGGAAAGTGGCAAGTTCCCTCTGGATAAATGTGGTCGAGATTTTTCTCCTGGAGAGGTAAGAATTTTGTGTATTGTCAAAGGCTTCCATGACTGGAATCACTGGGTTGTTGTAGGTCTCCTGACGTTTCGCCTGCATCTATGGCAGGCATCCTCAGAGGTTGTGAGGTCCTCACAGAGATTTCACAACCTCTGAGGATGCCTGTCATAGATGCTACTTCACAACTGTAATTTTGCTACTGTTATGAATCGTAAATGTAAATATATGATATGCAGGAGGTATTTACATTCACTGGACCAAATTGGACACAAATACCAGATACGCCCAAATTTGAATACTGGTGATTTATTTATTTATTTATTTATTTCGTGTACTTCTACCCCGCCCTTCTCAACCCCCGAGGGGGGACTCAGGGCAGCTTACAAAAGGCACAATTTGATGCCCACACAATAATACAGATAAACATATAAGACAGTAATTAAACCAGTTAAACAATTAAAAACAATCATTATATATCACAGTCAATAAACCAATCTCATACTCCGCATTCGCTAACTCAGAGTCCATAACTTCATTCCATATTGTCTACTCTTATCAGTCATTGTAGTCCTTTGTTTACCTGCCAGATTGCCCAAACACCTGGTCCAAATCCATGTTTTTAATTTCCTTCTAAAGGAAAGGAGGGATGTCACTGATCTAATTTCCCCGGGGAGTGAATTCCACAGGTGAGGGGCCACCACCGAGAAGGCCCTGCTCCTTGTCCCCGCCAATCTCACTTGTGATAGAGGCGGGGACAAGAGCAGGGCCTCCCCAGAAGATCTTAAACTCCGAGGTGGGACGTAGAGGGAGATCCGTTCAGACAGATACGCTGGGCCAGAACCGTAGACGGTTTTGTAGATCAAAACCAGCACTTTGAATTGGGCTCGGAATTGGATCAGCAGCCAATGGGGGGAGGTTGATTTTGTCATTTGGGAGTTGTAGTTGCTGGGATTTATAGTTCACCTACAATCAAAGAGCATTCTGAACACCTCCAACGATGAAATTGAACCAAACTTGGCACACTCCCATGACCAACAGAAAATACTGGAAGGGTTTGGTTGGCATTGGCCTTGAGTTTTGGAGTTGTAGTTCACCAAAGAGCATTGTGGATTCAAACAATGATGGATCTAGACAAAACTTGGCACGAATACTTGATATGCCCAAATGTGAACACTAGTGGAGTTTGCTGGGATTTATAATTCATCTACAATTAAAGAGCATTCTGAACTTCACCAATGATGGAATTGAACCAAACTTGGCACACAGAACTCCCATGACCAACAAAAAATACTGGGAGGGTTTGGTTGTTATTAACCTTGAGTTTTGGAGTTGTAGTTCACCAGAGAACACTGTGAACTCAAACAATGATGGATCTGGACCAAACTTGGCACAAATACTTAATATGCCCAAATGTGAACACTGGTGGAGTTTGGGGAAACTAGACCTTGACATTTGGGATTTATAGTTCACCTACAATCGAAGAGCATTCTGAACGTCACCAATGATAGAATAAAGGCCAAACTTCCCCACAGAACGCCCATGCCCAACAGAAAATACTGTGTTTTCTAATGGTCTTTGGTGACCCCTCTGACACCCCCTCACATCCCCCCAGGGGTCCCGACCCCCAGGTTGAGAAACACTGGTGTAGATGCAGTGTTATAGTCACTTTTTGTGTTTTATATTGTAATCACAAAACAATCCCTTTCCAGTCTCTTCATCAGAATCAGCAACAACAAAATCAAAGTTTTTTTTTTAATTCCTTCCTTCCTTTTTCATCTTTCCTTTCTGGTGCTTACTCATGGCCTCTCAGGGTGGATCTACATTGTCATATAATCCAGATTTTCAAATCAGATAATCCGGGTTATCTACTTTGAACTAGATTATGAGTCTACACTGCCATATACTTCAGTTCAAGGCAGATAATCTGGATTTTATATGGCAATGTAGATTGGACCTCAGTTCACCTGCAGCAATATGCAACCAATAAACACTTTGAAAGCATATGCCTCTCAATCAGGAGATAACAGTATGATGATGATGCTAACAATAATGATAGAGATGCATATATTAAAACTATTCAAACAGACTAAAATATGCCTTTAGAAGACTGTCATATTGTGGTCGTTGAAAAGAAAATTGTGCTGGTACGGCTATACCAGGAGCTCCAACTTTATTTTCTTTCTGTTATCTGTTTGCAGTCGTAGTGCAGGCCTCCTGTCAATCGTAATTAAGCTTTGGTTCCGCCCCTTGTTCAGGGCTTTGGGAGGGAAAGGAGCCATTTTTTGGGCAGTCTCACATTTTGGGTAATCTGGCAGATAGACAAAGGATAATGACGACCAGAACTAATAGGATTGACAATGTAGAATGAATTTACGGACTCTGAGTTGGCAAACGTTGAGCATAAGATTGGTTTTACTTATTGTGTTGTATAATTGATTGTTTTAATTGTTTATAATTGCTGTTATATATGTTTTTAACTTATTGTCTGTGTTGGCATTGAATTGTGCCTTTTGTAAGCCGTCCTGAGTCCCCCCTTGGGGGTTGAGAAGAGCGGGGTAGAAATGCGCGAAATAAATAAATAATAATGAATAAGGAAGCTAAACTATAGGACGTAGACCAGCTCATCCCGTAGAAAAGCTTCTTTTCTCAAGAACATCTGGGGAAACAGAAATTCCAGGGGAAAGGTCCCAAGGCTCTGGCTGAGAGCTCACAGCCTCTCAGCCTCACAGCAATCAGAGGGAAAACACCCTGAGGTTTTCAAAGAATTCTCTGAGGGAGGACAGCACTACAGATCCACGGAACTCCATCTGAAATATCTACAAGCCTCGGCTGGTAGGTCTACTCGATACCCAGACGCATTTGGAATCGGTAGTAGGACCCACACCGATGAGGCATAGATAGTAAACAGCCTGGGAGAGGTTAAATAGGGTTTTTTCCTACAGAGTTAATTAAAGTCAGGTACCAGTCCATTGAGGACTAGACTAAGAAAGCCTTGAAGTGTTGTTTGAACCATTGAAGATTTGTTGTTTGTTCCATAATAAAGACTTTGTTGTATCATTAAAGACTCTAAAGACCATCACTTCAGAAAAATCCCTGAGAACTCTCTTTGAGGTGCCCCTAGCCGGTTGTATAGAATCATAGAATCATAGAATCAAAGAGTTGGAAGAGACCTCATGGGCCATCCAGTCCAACCCCCTGCCAAGAAGCAGGAATATTGCATTCAAATCACCCCTGACAAATGGCCATCCAGCCTCTGCTTAAAAGCTTCCAAAGAAGGAGCCTCCACCACACTCCGGGGCAGAGAGTTCCACTGCTGAACGGCTCTCACAGTCAGGAAGTTCTTCCTCATGTTCAGATGGAATCTCCTCTCTTGTAGTTTGAAGCCATTGTTCCGCGTCCTATTCTCCAAGGAAGCAGAAAACAAGCTTGCTCCCTCCTCCCTGTGGCTTCCTCTCACATATTTATACATGGCTATCATATCTCCTCTCAGCCTTCTCTTCTTCAGGCTAAACATGCCCAGCTCCCCAGCCGCTCCTCATAGGGCTTGTTCTCCAGACCCTTGATCATTTTAGTCACCCTCCTCTGGACACATTCCAGCTTGTCAATATCTCTCTTGAATTGTGGTGCCCAGAATTGGACACAATATTCCAGGTGTGGTCTAACCAAAGCAGAATAGAGGGGTAGCATGACTTCCCTAGATCTAGACACTATGCTCCTATTGATGCAGGCCAAAATCCCATTGGCTTTTTTTGCCGCCACATCCCATTGTTGGCTCATGTTTAACTTGTTGTCCACGAGGACTCCAAGATCTTTTTCACACGTACTGCTCTCGAGCCAGGCGTCCCCCATTCTGTATCTTTGCATTTCATTTTTTCTGCCAAAGTGGAGTATCTTGCATTTGTCACTGTTGAACTTCATTTTGTTAGTTTTGGCCCATCTCTCTAATCTGTCAAGATCGTTTTGAATTCTGCTCCTGTCCTCTGGACTATTGGCTATCCCTCCCAATTTGGTGTCGTCTGCAAACTTGATGATCATGCCTTCTAGCCCTTCATCTAAGTCATTAATAAAGATGTTAAGCCGTTGGGCTTAAAGTATACATCCTATAGAAAAGACAGCTGTTACAGGCCCAGCACGCAACAGAACAAAAATAATTCAACTGTATTGATTTTAAACCAAACAGCTTGATTCTAAGAATTGGTGGGGCAGTGGCTGTAAGAATGACTGTCTTCTTGTGGGTTATCGGATGATGCTGGGCTTTATTTCTTCCCTCCCACACAAATCTGTTGTCATCCTAAAACCCTTCCTGGGTCTTTGAAGAAATGCAAAAGAGGCGACAGGATAATAAAGGCATGCCAGTAATATGCCGAGATCTGTATCTGTCTGCAGTGGGTGGGTCCTGCAATATCAGCCTTGGTAGGAAACATATCCCTGTGTTCATCAATCACATGTCAAGGATGGCGATGATATATCTGTAAGTTGGTTGTGTCATTGCATTATCATCTATTCCTCAGTCACTTTGTGGAGAAGGCCATAATAGCCCGTTAAATTGCACAACACGGATAAGGGGTGCCTCTGCACTGGAGAATTAATGCAGCTTGACTGTTATGTTTCAATGCTATGAAATCCTAGTGGTTATAGTTTAGTGAAATACTAGCACACTTTGGCAGTGAAGGTTAAAGACCTTGTCAAACGACAGTTCTCATAATCCTATAGTTGAGCCCCTGGTGGTGCAGCAGGTTAAACTGCTGAGCTGCTGAACTTGCTGACCAAAAGGTCGGTGGTTCTAATGGGGGGAGCGGAGTGAGCTCCTGCTGTTAGGTCCAGCTTCTGACAACTTAGCATTTCGAAAACATGCAAGTGTGAGTAGATCAATAGGTACTGTTCCAGCCATGCAGTCGTGCCAGCCATGTGACCTTGGAGGTGTCTACGGACAACACCGGCTCTTCGGCTTAGAAATAGAGATGAGCACCAACCCCCAGAGTTGGACACGACTGGACTTAATGTCAGGGGAAACCTTTACCTTTAACTTTTTTGAGCCAGTTAATGTAGTTAATGTAGTTCCAAACTTTTGGATCATATTCCTTGTGCTTCCAAGGAAATGCAATTAGGTTTTTAAAATGTCTGCATTTATGGGTTTGAGTTTTGCTACTTTATTTATTTATTTGTGACATTTATATCCCGCTCTTCTCACCCCAAAGGGGACTCAGAGTGGCTGACAAGTAATATGTAAATACAGTATATTATATTATTATTATAGCACAATATTAGTATTATATATTACTATACTGTACTATACCATTATAATGTAATATTATTAGTAATATTATATGTAATATAAAATATATAATTATAATATGGTATTATTATTATAAGTAGTATTTTATTGTATTACATTATAATATTATCAATATTATATATATACATACAATGTATTATATTATATAATGCTGGGGAAAATGGAAGGAAAAAGGAAGAGGGCAAGATGGATGGATGGGATCCTTGAAGTGACTGGATTGACCTTGAAGGGCAAGATGGATGGGCAAGATGGATGGATGGGATCCTTGAAGTGACTGGATTGACCTTGAAGGGCAAGATGGATGGGCAAGATGGATGGATGGGATCCTTGAAGTGACTGGATTGACCTTGAAGGGCAAGATGGATGGGCAAGATGGATGGATGGGATCCTTGAAGTGACTGGATTGACCTTGAAGGGCAAGATGGATGGGCAAGATGGATGGATGGGATCCTTGAAGTGACTGGATTGACCTTGAAGGAGCTGGGGGTGGTGATGGCTAACAGGGAGCTCTGACGTGGGCTGGTTTATGAGGTCCCAAAAGTTGGAAACGACTGAACAAAGAACAACAACAAAATATTGTATTATATAATATTGTAGTATTTGCACAGTGCAGGAGACAAGGTGGGACTGTCTTTCTGGCCGCCTCTCTTCACTCTGGTCCCAGAGCAGCAGTTAGATTATTCATGGATTTTATTCAAATGTCTTCTCCATTATATCTTTCACACTTTTGTTTTTCCTTCCTTCCTTCCTTCCTTCCTTCCTTCCTTCCTTCCTTCCTTCCTTCCTTCCTTCCTCCCCTCCCTCCCTCCCTCCTTCCTCCCTCCCTCCTTCCTTCCTCCCTCCCTCCCTCCCTCCCTCCTTCCTTCCTTCCTTCCTTCCTTCCTTCCTTCCTTCCTTCCTTCCTTTATATACCTGTCACCCTGTCACAGCTAATCCACCTTGTTCCTTTTCTTTCCTCAGCTCTGGGCCAGAAAAAGGTAGTTTTCTTAAAGTTGAAACCCTCAGTTATTTTAAACTGGATAATCAAGGGCAGGTTTGCCAACTTTGGTCCAGATCCATATACCCATGTAAGAGCCTTTGAGGTACACGCCAACCAAATAACATACATACATACCTCATACATTCATACTTTGGCATTTTAATGTTGTTGTTCATTCGTTCAGTCGTCTCCGACTCTTCGTGACCTCATGGACCAGCCCACGCCAGCGCTCCCTGTCGGCCGTCACCACCCCCAGCTCCTTCAAGGTCAGTCCAGTCACTTCAAGGATGCCATCCATCCATCTTGCCCTTGGTCGGCCCCTCTTCCTTTTGCCTTCCACTTTCCCCAGCATCATTGTCTTCTCTAGGCTTTGCTGTCTCCTCATGATGTGGCCAAAGGACTTCAACTTTGTCTCTAGTCTCCTTCCCTCCAGTGAGCAGCCGGACTTTATTTCCTGGAGGATGGACTGGTTGGATCTTCTCGCAGTCCAAGGCACTCTCAGGACTTTCCTCCAGCACCACAGCTCAAAAGCATCTGTCTTCCTTCGCTCAGCCTTCCCTAAGGTCCAGCTCTCACATCCGTAGGTTACTACAGGGAATACCATGGCTTTGACTAGGCGGATCTTTGTTGCCAGTGTGATGTCTCTACTCTTCACTATTTTATCGAGACTGGACATTGCTCTCCTCCCAGAAGGAAGCGTCTTCTGATTTCCTGGCCACAGTCTGCATCTGCAGTCATCTTTGCACCTAGAAATACAAAGTCTGTCACGGCCTCCACATTTTCTCCCTCCATTTTCCAGTTTTTAATATACAGGTTTTATTGCTTTCCCTTTCTGCTTTCCAGGTGGATGACTACAAGGTCGAAAGCCAGCAAGACGTGGGTCCCATCCTGCTGATCCGGCTCCACAAGGAGCGCTACGGGGCTTTTCCCCAGACCAGCTGGAACTGCAGCTTTGTGGAAGTGATGGCAACCGAAGGACAGAAGTACCATTTCCCTTGCTATCAGTGGATTGTAGGGTACCAGACCCTGGAGCTCAGAGAAGGGGCAGGTGAGAGGTCTGATGCATCCCCCTCCCCCCAAAAAGCATTGAATCCACACCTTCCATTGCCATGACTCACTCCTGCAACCATTCTGCCAGCTTGCGTTGCTCTGCCACTGCTTGTCCTTGGTTGATTTCAAAGTGGAGATACTGTTTGTTCCTTACGTTGAAGTATTATTATTCTATTTTTACCAACACTTCAAAATGTATCTCTGCAGCTGCAATGCAAAGAGCCGCAGGCTGTTTGCTCTTTCTGGGTTGTACTAGCATGCCTCCCAACATGAACAAAATCAAGATAAGGGCGTGTACTATGGAATAAATATTAGAACCATATGCCTTTCAAACCATCCTTGAATTGGACAATCATAGAATCATAGAATCAAAGAGTTGGAAGAGACCTCATGGGCCATCCAGTCCAACCCCCTGCCAAGAAGCAGGAATATTGCATTCAAATCACCCCTGACAGATGGCCATCCAGCCTCTGTTTAAAAGCTTCCAAAGAAGGAGCCGCCACCACACTCCGGGGCAGAGAGTTCCACTGCTGAACGGCTCTCACAGTCAGGAAGTTCTTCCTCATGTTCAGATGGAATCTCCTCTCTTGTAGTTTGAAGCCATTGTTCCATTGCGTCCTAGTCTCCAGGGAAGCAGAAAACAAGCTTGCTCCCTCCTCCCTGTGGCTTCCTCTCACATATTTATACATGGCTATCATATCTCCTCTCATCCTTCTCTTCTTCAGGCTAAACATGCCCAGCTCCTTAAGCCGCTCCTCATAGGGCTTGTTCTCCAGACCTTGATCATTTGAGTCGCCCTCCTCTGGACACATTCCAGCTGTCAATATCTCTCTTGAATTGTGGTGCCCAGAATTGGACACAATATTCCAGGTGTGGTCTAACCAGAGCTGAATAGAGAGGTAGCATTACTTCCCTAGAGCTAAAGTGCTTTCTACACTGCCATATAACACAGTTTAACTGCACTGAACTGGATTATATGGCAATGTGGATAGACATAATCCAGTTCAATGCAGTTAAACTGCATTCTGAAATTACACTATATGCCAGTGTAGATCCAGACTCTGACTAGAACATTGGAAGCTGATGGCAAATCCACTCTGGGCTTTAAGCCCCATCTGCATTGACTATTTTATCCAGTTTGATGCTAGCTTTAAACTGTGGTGGCTGGACAACATATTGTCACAAACGCATGAAAGCAAGCTCTTAATGCACATCAGTGTGCTCTCTAGTTTGTGTAATCATCTTCCTCGGATCTGGTTCCAGGTTTTCTAGTGTGTAATCATCTGCACAGCGAAAGCACTTTCTTCCATACTGGATTGAAACTGCATCAAATGATCGGTGTAAATAGGGCCTTTATCTGAACTTTAAATACTCTAGCCAAGGAGCTCTGTTGGAGATCGGGTTTACTAGCCATCACTAGATTAGGACTTGGGAATGTTATTTTTATTGGGAGAGATAATAATAATAATAATAATAATAATAATAATAATAGTAATAATAATAAAAATAATAATGGCACACTGGGTGCCGTGCCAAAAGATCTCAGCCGGCATTTGGAAACAATAAACATTGACAAAATCTCGATCTGTCAACTGCAAATGGCTACCTTACTTGGATCTACGCGCATCATTCGAAAATACATCACACATGTATTGCTTGGGAAGTGTTCGACTTGTGATTTTGTGATACGAAATCTAGCATAGAGATCTTATTTTCTGTGACATACTGTGTTTTTGTGTCAGTAAAATAATAATAACAACACTACAAGCAGAGGCATAACACCGTTGCTCAGATGATTCATTGGAACTTGTGCCACAAATACCATCTTCCTGCCACAAAGAACTGGTGGGATCACAAGCTGGAAAAAGTTACAGAGAATGGACATGTCAAGCTACTTTGGGACTTCCAGATTCAGACAGTTTTGGAGCACAAGACTCCTGACCTCACGATCATGTTAAAAAACAAAGTATGGATTCTCGATTCTGCAATTCCAGATGACAGCAGGATTGAAGAGAAACAACAGGAAACGCTGACACGATATGAGGATTTAAAGATTGAACTGCAGAGACTCTGGCACAAGCCAGTCAAGATGGTCCCAGTGGTGATTGGCACACGGTGTAGTGCCTAAAGACCTTGGCCTGCACTTAAATACAATCGGTGTTGACAAGATTACCATCTACCAGCTGCAAAAGGCTACCCTACTGGGATCTGCATGCATTATTCACCGATACATCACACAGTCCTAGACACTTGGGAAGTGTCCGACGTGTGATCCAGTACAACAGCCAGCAGAGTGTCTGCTGTGGACTCATCTTGTGGTGTTTCAAATAATAATGGAAAGCAGGATGGAGAATAATGCTCCCCAGTTTGGACTCCATGTCCCATCACTCCAATCCAAGGGATAAGAATATTCAGTGCTCAATGCTTCTTGGATTGGGAACCTCCTATCCATGTTTTGAAGGACTTCCATGCTTTCATAGAATCATGGAATTGGAAGAAACCCCAGGGACCATCTAGTCCAACCCCATGACTTTTAGGACTACCCAGCTAAAGCATTTGTGAGAGATGTCCATCCAACCTCTCCTTAAAAGCCTCCAACTACATGATGCTGGTTTCCAGGAGTATTTGTTGTCCCACTTTTTCCTCCTTGCTGTCACTGGATACAGTGAGTAAGGGTCGATTCCAATAGATTCCTTTGCATAACATTCCTCAAATCATTCCCATCCTTCTCTCTCTCTTCCTTGCAGCCAGAACTATTGGTATGGATGCTGGAAACCCATCAATGTTACAACACCGGCAGAAAGAGTTGGAAGCAAAGCGGGAATCCTACAGGTGAGACAATTGACTCTGAGTGCATCTACACTGTAGAATGAATGTAGTTTGACACCACTTTAGCTGCCATGGCTAAGTGTTATGGAATCCTAGGAACTGCAGTTTGGTGAGACACTAGCACTCTTTGGCAAAGAAGCCCAGAGTTTGTAAAACTACAACTCCCGAGATACTATAGCATCAAGCCATGGTAGTTAAAGTGGTCTCAAACTGCATTCATGTAGACAGTGACACACCCTAAGTCCTCCAATGCAACTTTAAAGGTATGCTGCGAAATGGTTTCATTTAATTTCATGATGCTTGGCCATTTTCAGGTTTCATACTTGGGTCTTCTGGACAATAAATACAAGGTGGATTTTTGGTATCTGCCAAGGTTTGGTTCCAGGACTTACCCATGGTGCTCAAAGCTATAGATGACCAGGTCTCATTATATACACACAATTGTGTAGTAAAATGACGTCCATTATATAAATTGATCAAATCCATGGATAACCAAACCCAAAAAAGCTAAATCCATTAATGTGGAATATTGATTATGTTCATGCAGCCAGTATTTATACCTCTTGTATGTCTGTATTCTTGGCACAGATATAAAGAATATCAGCCTGGGTGGCCCATGTGCCTGGATGCTGACACAGTGGACCACTTGCACCCGAACGATCGCTATTCCAGAATTAAGGAAAACGTTTTTCAAGTGCAGATGGTGACAGCGTAAGTCCTACTTTTTCACTGGTAGTCTGACTTGGGAAAGTATGGGAATCATGGTCCCCAAAAGTAACTTTTTCAAGGTCTTGGGGTGGTTGTACTTGAACATTTCAAACCCCTTTCCCACTGTAATATCTACACTGTAGAATTAATGCAGTTTGGCGCCACTTTAGTGGTCAAAGCTCAATCCTATGGAATCCTGGGAGTTTTCTTTTTGTTGAGGCAAAGGCCTTGTAAGACTACATTGATCTATGGCAGTTAAAGTGGTGTCAAACTGCATTAACCCTACAGTGTAGATGCACCCACATTATTTTTAAAATATATTAATTTTAAGAGAGATTATTTAATATGGTTAGCAGGACTATAATTTGGATTGGAGTAAGTGCTGATCCTGCAATATTTACAGACTTCTCACAATAAATTATCTCTCCATCCATATTCACATAGCAGGTGGAAATCCAACAGGTAGAGCAGTGTTTCCCAACCTGGGGGTCAGGACCCCTGAGGGGGTCTCCAGGGGGTGCCAGAGGGGTCGCCAAAGACCATCAGAAAACACAGTATTTTCTGTTGGTCATGGAGGTTCTGTGTGGGAAGTTTGGCCCAATTCTCTCGTTTGTGATGTTCAGAATGCTCTTTGATTGCAGGTGAACTATAAATCCCAGCAACTACATCTCCCAAATGTCAAGGTCTATTTCCCCCAAACTAAATACTGGTAGAGTATTAAGTATTTGTGCCAAGTTTGGTCCAGATCCATCATTGTTTGAGTCCACTGTGCTCTCTGGATATAGGTGAACTACAACTCCAAAACTCAAGGTCAATGCCCACCAAACCCTTCCTGTATGTTCTGTTGGTTATGGGAGTTCTGTGTGCCAAGTTTGGTTCAATTCAATTGTTAGTGGAGTTCAGAATGCTCTTAGATTGTAGGTGAACTATAAACCCCAGCAACTACAACTCCCAAATAACAAAATCACTCTACCCCTAATCCCACCAGTATTCAAATTTGGGCATATCGGGTATTTGTGCCAAATTTGGTCCAGTGAATGAAAATATATCCTGCATATTAGATATTCATATTATGATTCATAACAGTAGCAAAATGATAGTTATGAAGTAGCAACGAAAATAATGTTATGGTTGGGGGTCACCATCACATCAGGAACTGTATTAAGGGGCTGTAGCATTAGGAAGGTTGAGAAATACTGAAGCTTTATCCCATTATAGTAGAGGAGAGTTGTACCTAATTTATTTTGCATTTTTACTTTGTTTTTATCCTGCCTTTCTCCTAATGTGGGGACTCAATGCAGGTGATGATAAATATAAAATAATGCTGATTCAAAACAAAAGGAATACATTGAAATATTTAAAATACTATTTAATATTTAAAAACAACATCCCCACATACCTGCTGAATTTTAGCCAGCTCTTGAAAAACATAATCATTGCATATTTTGTATTTTTCTTTTGTGACACCAGTGAAGTAGAATTGAAAATGAAAGGCCTGCTGGACTGCACACATTCCTGGAGAAAACTGGATGATATCCGAATGGCCTTTTGGTTTTACCGATCCCCTGTCACAGGTCAGTATCCTCATCAGATAAACCAGATTTGTTAATTTAGAACTTATTACCACCATTGATTTCCTTGGTGATCCATCCATCCCATGTGGATAGCATGACTGGGATTTTAGAGTGGCTGTGGTTAATTCTGTTTTAGTATTTGCATGTTTATGGATTTAAAATTGCATTTTTTAAAATGTTGTGAGGCATATTGCATTTAGATCAAAGGATAAAAGTGGAACAACAACCATTTTCAATGCATTTCAGTGTTTTATGACACCAAGGGTTTAACTGTTTGTTTTTATACTCATTGTTGCACTCTAGTCTTGAGACACCTTTTCACTCAGCACCACACCAGAGTCCAGTAGTAACTAACTACAGCAGTTTATTTACACAATCATGTACACAAGGGAAAAAGGGCATTTCCCAAAAATCAGCAGGAAAGGAGCTATAAAATAGCAGTAGTCGATATACAAAAGATCAGTAGTCCAAAATACATGGAATCAAGGAAGTCATTATCATAGGCATAATAAATCCATAAGCATGACAACAGGAACTTTTTTCTAAGGCAAAACTCTTTCAGGAATATAGGCAGACAGAGAAGACCGGAAGCATGATCTTGAGAGCTGAAAGAGGAACTTGAATCTATGACGACGTTGTCTGCTCTGGAGACACCAAGTAAACATCACTGAATTTAAGTCCGGGCCTGACCAAGAAGCCACAAGGTCATGCCTCTGACACCTGGGTTTCAAGGACTTCTCACTGAGTCTTTCCAACTGCCTAATTAACCTATCATTCACTCCCTCCGTTTGGAGGCCTAATCTGATATCTCAGGAAAACTCCCCATCTCTTGAAGACCGATTCCCAAAAGAAACTGACTTTTCCCCTGTTACTAAGGAATGAACACTGGAATTCTGTCTCATCTCCAACTGCCTGCAATTCACCCTGTTCACACACACACACTCCTCAGTCATTATCCCCCTCGTCCTTTGAGAAATCACCAAAATCTTGCCTGAACACTAATATTTTAATTTTGATACTTACAGTTTAACTTTCCTTTGCATTGTGTCATATTTATTATGATTGGCCTTGAGTCCCTATATTGGGAGAAAGTCAGGTTAAAAATAAACAGCTGTAGCCTGAAAAGTGCAATTCATCTAGCAATTAATCCCATCTACACTGTATAGTTAAGACAGGCAGGATACTGCAGTTCAGTATACTTAGGTCCCTTCTACACTGTCATATAATCCAGATTATCAAATTATCAGATTATTGAAAGTTAAAGTTTAAAGTGCAATAACCCGGGACTGTTTACGACATCGGCTATGTCTCCGTGTAATAGGTGATGTTATTTTGTGTGATGTGTTTAATAATGTTTTATTAGGGGAGTCTCAATTTTAATGTTTTATACTGTTTTATTGATGGCATTGAATTGTTGCCAACACTGTGAACTGCCCTGAGTCCCCTTCGGCGGTATACAAATATCGCAAATAATAAATAAATAAATAAATAAATAAACAATCTGCTTCGAACTGGATTATATGAGTCTATACTGCCATTAGTTCAAAGCTGATAATCTGGATTTTATATGGCAGTGTAGAAGGGGCCTTAAACTGCATCATCTGGGTCTCCACTATCCATGTAATGCAGTTTCAAATTGCGCAGTGTAGATTCAGCTGCAATTGAACATATTTTGAACTGCCATTGATCAAAGCAATTGAGTGGAAGGAGATGTAGTCTGGTTAGGTCTTTAGCTTTCTCTGCCGGGGCCTCATTGAACTAGAACGCCCCCTTGAGCCATGGCAGGGAAAGTGGTGTTGAACTGCATTCATTCTACAGTGTAGATGCACCCAGGGTTGCAGAATCTGAGCAAATAAGGGAAAGTCATTGTCTGTATTGATTTCTTTAAAAGCTATCTCTCCGTCCCCAGAATATGTCATTAGACACTGGCAGGAAGATGCTTTCTTTGGCTACCAGTCTCTCAATGGGGTGAACCCTATTATCATCCGGAAGTGTGTTGAAATCCCAGCCAAATTCCCTGTCACGCAGGAGATGGTGGCTGCATCCTTGGGAAAGCACACCACACTGGACAAAGAGCTCAAGGTGAGGACTGAGGTGGACCTCATAAAGCATACCTACATCCCTCATGCCTGCTATGAGGTCCCTATATATGATTAAGGGGCAGTAAGGGTGCATCTGCACCAGGCATGGGCCAACTTTGATCCTCCAGATGTTTTAGACATCAACCCCCACAATTCCTAATAGCCTACTGGCTGTTAGTAATTCTGGGAGTTGCAGTCCAAAACATCTGGAGGGCCAAAGTTGGCTCATGCCTGGTTGAGATGCACCCTAGATTCCTTGAACCCACATTTCCCAACATTCAATACGTGTTTAAATCCTATTAATGCAAAGAATCTATTCTGGTTGTAACTGACAATGGGATCCAAGGCAATGTCTTTCATTAGAGGTCAAATGCACACCACCAAACCATATTAACGCATCAATCTCTTTCGCTATCTTTTTGACAGAAGGGTACCATATTCCTCATAGACTGTTGGATTTTGGAAGGCGTCCCAGCAACGAAACTCAATGGATCCCTCCAGTGTATCTCTGCCCCTCTTTGCCTCTTGCATTTCACTCCCCTGGGTGAGATGATCCCCATCGCCATCCAGGTAATGACTTTGGTTGCATCTACACTGTGGAATTAATGCAGTTTGACGCCACTTTAACTGTCATTGCTCAATGCTATGGAATTATAGGAGTTGTAGTCTTAGGCCCCATCTACACTGCCATATACTCCAGTTTGAACTGCATTATAATGATCAGTGTAGACTTATATAATGCAGATTGAACCACATTGGATTGTATGAGTCTACACTGCCATATAATCCACATCAATGCAGTTAATCTGCATTCTGAAACTGGATTATATGGCAGTGTAGATGGGGCCTTAGAAGGTCTTTAACTTTCTCTGCCAAAGAGTGCTGGAGCCTCACCAAACTACAAATCCCAGGATTCTATAGCATTGAGCCAGGGCTGTTAAAGTGGTGTTAAACTGAATTAAGTTGACAGTGTAGATACACCCCCATCATTTCAAAATGTATTAGTTGACTCCTCTTTTATTAAAAATGGCATATTTGTAATCCAGTTTTCTCTTGAAGGTAAATCTGTATTCTTCTGTATTTCCAGCTGATGCAAAAACCTGGACCGGAGAGCCCAATTTTCTTGCCCACGGATTCAGAGTGGGATTGGGCATTGGCAAAGTTCTGGGTGCGAAACAGCACTTTCTACATCCACGAAATCCTCGTCCATCTGCTCTCGACTCACCTGGTAGTGGAAGTCTTCATTCTAGCTACCTTGCGCAATTTGCCTATGTGCCACCCAGTCTATAAGGTACGTGAGTGGGATTTGGCCGTCCTATTGGAAGACGGATTTGGAAAGAAACAAACCACCCAAATTCAGGATTTTCAAAGATGCACAGGACAGATAGAGAGAATCTGGGTTAGGCATCTACACTGTAGAATTGATGCAGTTTGACATGATTTGAGCTCCTAATGTTCAATGTGATGGAATCCTGGGAGTTGAGTGTTTTACAAGATCTTTAACTTTCTTTGCCCAAGAGTGCTGATTCCTCACCAAACTACAACTCCTAGGATTCTGTTACATTTAGCCACGGCAGTTCAAGTGGTATCAAACTGCATTATTTCTACATTGTAAATGCACTCTGGGATGTCATCAAACCCATAGTGATGCTGTAGCAGTTCCAAAAATAAGACCCTGGGTTAGGATTAGGGCCAGAATGCAAATGTTGAATTGCAAATTGATGGCAAAATCTCAAGGAATTGGAGACGCTGGGTGCATCTAGACTAGGCATGGGCAAACTTCGGTCCCCCAGGTGTTTTGGACTTCAGCTCCCACAATTCCTAACAGTCTTTCACCCCTTCCTTCCCCCCCTTAAGCAGCTGAGGGGAAAAGAAGGGGCTTGAGGTTGGAATTGTGAGAATTGAAATCCAAAACACCTGGGGGATTGAAGTTTGCCCATACCTGATCTACACCATGGAATTGATGCAGTTTAGCTCAATGCTATGGAACACTGGCGGGCAATAGCCAAAGACCTTGTGAAATTAGAACTGCCACTATTCCATAGCATAAGGTGAGGTCAAACTAATTTATTTTCACAGTGGATGGTCATTACCACAATCTGCTTAGCCAAACGTGGCAGCTCTAGATTGGGCATGGGCCAACTTAGGCCCTCCCTCCAGGTGTTTTGGACTTCAACTCCCACAATTCCTAACAAGATGGAGAGATAGCAAAACACATGGAGGGAGGGCCAAAGTTTACCCATGCCTGTTTATAATAATAATAATAATAATAATAATAATAATAAAAAAACAACCACTATGTAACCAAATTTGAAATGTTTCCTGTTCCTGGTTTGAAAGTGTTATTTCCTGTCTAACTGTGCAATACTTACTTTGAAAGTAGTTGTTCAACTCCAGAAACTTCCTTTTTGTGGCTGCCACAAGCTAGGCTGAAATGAGATATTCACTGGAAAACTTTAGCAAAATATGCTGCAGTTTAATAAACTTTTGCATGTTTTTATGATAGAACCAATTAGGAAAGGAAATTTACAACCCAAGAATAAAAATTGTGTTACACAGTGCAATAAATTTTCTTTGTTACTCACCTCTTCTCATGGCTCAAGTTGTATACAATACACTCAAAACACATTAAAATAAAATACATATATCAATACATACATATATCTATATCTATATATATCAACATATATCAATAAATACATATATCAGGAGCCCCCGGTGGCGCAGTGGGTTAAACCACTGAGCTGCTAAACTTGTTGACCGAAAGATCACAGGTTCGAATCCAAGGAGCGGCGTGAACTCCTGCTGTCAGCCCCAGCTTCTGCCAACCTAGCAGTTTGAAAACGTGCAAATGTGAGCAGATCAATAGGTACCGCTCCGGCGGGAAGGTAACAGTGCTCCATGCAATCATGCCGGCCACATGACCTTCGAGGTGTCTACGGACAACGCTGGCTCTTCGGCTTAGAAATGGAGATGAGCACCAACCCCCAGAGTCGGACACGACTGGACTTAATGTCAGGGGAAAACCTTTACCTTTACCTTTACATATATGAAAGCACACAATTATAAAATACATACACTAAAACACATGGAACAAAGATCAAAATACATAAATGATTTGGTTACATGTCTGCAAGATGTTAGTGATTTCTGGACAAAGATTTGCACTGGCCCTGGTCTCTCCCCTTGCTACAGCTGTCTTCTCCCATTTTTGAACCTTCTTTGGCCTCATCTCTTTTGTTTTCTATCCCCTGTGTCCATATAGCTATTAATTCCTCACTTCCGATATACCTTACACATCAACGTCCTTGGCCGGGTGAACCTTTTTTCCCTAGGAGGACTCATTGAGCAGGTAAGCGTGCCATTTCGTATAAGTTAACTGTCCCAAGAGGGAGCTCCATCACATGTTAGTAAGAGAACCTGTCATATTTTGCAGAAGGGGTGCTCAACCTATATTACTGTTTCAGTGTTGCCTTACTTATCATGGGGTTACATTCCAGGACCACCTGCAATAAGTGAAAATCTGCAAAGTAGGGATGCTTATAGTATATGTACAGTATTACCTACGTATACGTATGTCCCTCCTGGAAGATGCCCTCCCCCCCCCAATCAATATCTCTCTCTGTCTGGGCATTGTTAGGTGTTGCTTTCCCACAGCCTTGAGCTCACGCCCAGCCTGGGCTCCTTGGCGCATGTGTGGTCGTGCCAAGGAGGAGGAGGAGGAGGAGGAGGAGGAGGAGGAGGAGAAGGAAGGTAAAGAGGGTGAGGAGGCTGATCCTACACAGATATCCATCCATCCATCCATCCATCTGCCCCTCCTCCCTCCTCCAATGTTCCCTCACTACTTGTATGCAATAATGTATTTTAAATTCATTTTAAAAACACACAAAACAATGAGTTCGTAAAAAGCAAATTATGAAGTAGTGAGAGAACACTGTATTCCTATATGCCAGAAAATTGAGAATAAGATGCTAAGCTTCTCCAAAGTATGGGATGAGTCCATGACTGTGGGACTTTCTGTTGAACGTTGGGACTTCCTGTTCTGGAACTCAATGGTTCACTTACTAAAGGTGCATCTACACCAGGCATGGTCAAACTTTGGCTCTCCAAGTGTTTTGGATTTCAACTACCACAATTCCTAACAGCCGGCAGGCTGTTAGCAATTGTGGGAGTTGAAGTCCAAAACACCTGGAGGGCCGAAGTTTGACCATGCCTGGTCTACACTATGGAATTCATACAGTTTGATTCACTTTGCTATGGCTCAATACCATGGAATATTGAAAGTTGTAATTTTACAAAGTAGTGTCAAAGTGCATTATTTAATCAGTGTGGAAGCACCATACGTTACATCCATTCCATCCAATTACTATATGTACCCATTCTCTTTCCAGGCCACAGGTACGGGCTTCCATGGTGTCTCTCACCTGTTGGCCAAGGGTCTTTCAACGGTAACGTATACCAGCTTATGCCTTCCTGATGACCTCCAAGAGAGAGGGGTCGAATCGCTCCCAAACTATTACTACCGGGATGATGCTTTGAAGCTCTGGGAAGCCACTGAGAGGTATGATGGTCCAGGTTGAAGGATCAGATGGGCGATGGTGGGCAACTATAGAGAGAGTTAAGGTCTAAGTCTTCCTGCAATGGATTCTGGAAAGACAGGAGAGCTCCCTATATGTGGGTCCCTGAGCCACTTTTCCAAATCATTAAAGACCTGAGAAGCAACCAAACCTACACCAACTCCTTCTATGCTGAAGATGGGTCATGAAGACCTACTAACTTCCATGTAGAAGGTGGAAGTAGAAGTCCACTTCAACAAGCATGCAAGGATCAAGAGTAAAACTGCAATAGAGGTTAAAAATACAGGATCCATGAAAGTAGAAAAACACAACTGGTGTTAACCTATAAAGCCCTAAACGACTCCGGCCCTGTTTACCTCTCCGAACGTATTCTCCCCTATGAACCATCAAGATTATTAAGATCGTCTGGAGAGGCCCTGCTCTCGGTCCCACCGGCCTCGCAAGCGCGTCTGGTGGGGACAAGGGACAGGGCCTTCTCGGTGGTGGCCCCTCGGCTCTGGAACTCTCTCCCACTGGAGATCAGAACCGCCCCTTCTATCCTGACATTTAGGAAACAGGTGAAGACTTGGCTATGGAGACAGGCATTCGACGAGTGAGTCAACACCCTGAGATATGGATGGAGGATGATGAGCAACGATTTTAGTCTGACGACTGACCATTGTAGTTATTGATTATAATTGCTGTTTTAATGTTTTACTGTAATATGAATTATGATGTTTTATTAATTGTATGTGATATTATGGTTGGAAACCGGTCTGAGTCCCTCAAGAGAGGTGAGAAGGCCAGTATATAAAACTTTTAAATAAATAAATAAAATAAAAACTTAAGAATAGTATTATTTTAACTTGGAAGATATCTCTCTAGGACTCTCATGTCCTCTGCTGGGAGTCTGAGAGACACTGAGCACAGAATTGCTCTGGAGGACATACAAATCCCCAGAGAAGCGTCATATCCAGGAATCCTCAATGCCCTCCTATAAATATTTTAACATATAATTTAACTATATTGTGCCTGACCTTGACCCTTGAGGAAAGGTAGGTAACTAATTAAATTTGTTGTTGTTGTTGCATTAGGTTCTCAACCTGAAGTTTTGGCCTTCAACTCCCAGAAATCCTAACATCTGGTAAACTGGCTGGGATTTCTGGGAGTTGTAGGCGAAAACATCTGGGGTCCCACAGGTTGAGAACCACTGCATTAGGTGCCCTGAAGAACACACAGAGGTGTGTGCATATATGTCCGCAATTTTCAAGGTAGCACTTTCACCCTGAGATTCCTCCTCTTTCCCAACCCATTGGTGCCTAACCAGTCCTAATTTCCTTTATGCCTGCCTCCTTGCAGCTTCGTGTCGGCAATCGTGGCTCTCTACTACAAAAGCGACAGCTCCGTGAAGGAAGACTCCGAGGTCCAGGCTTGGGTGGCTGAGATACTTGAGAAGTGTTTCTTTGGGCAAGAGTCTTCTGGTAATGTCCCCATCCCTCGGCTTTCCTGCCATCCTCTTTGAAAGCTGGTAGGATCCATTTGCGTAGATTTGCAATGCTTGAAGGACTTCTGTCAAGTTGTTGCAACTCGCAAAGCTCCCAAGGCAGTTTCTATGGGTGCCTCTACAATGTTGAATTGATGCAGTTCAACATCACTTTAACAGGGATGGCTCAGTCCTATGGAATCCTGGAAGATGTTTTTAGCTTTCTCTGCTAAAGAGTGCTAAGTAAGGTAAAGGTTTCCCCTGACATTAAGTCTAGTCGTGTCCCACTCTGGAGGGTGCTGCTCATCTCCATTTCTAAGCTGAAGAGTCGGCTTTGTCCATAGACACCTCCTAGGTCATGTGGCCAGCATGACTGCATAGAGCGCTGTTACCTTCCCACCTGAGCGGCATCTTTATTTATAATGTAATGCAATATAATACTACTACTAATAATAATAATATGATATTATGATTATATATTTATATTACATGTAATATTACTAATAATATTACAATATAATGGTATAGTACAATATAGTAATATTTAATACTGATATTGTACTATGCTAATGATATATATATATCTTGTAAGCTGCTCTGAGTCCCCTTTGGGGTGAGAAGGGCAGCATATAAATGTCGCAAATAAATAAATAAATAAATAAATCTATTGTTATGCTCACATTTGCATGTTTTCGAACTGCTAGGTTGGCAGAAGCTGGGGCTAACAGTGGGAGCTCACCTCGTTCCCTGAATTCGAACCGCTGATCTTTCGGTCAGCAAGTTCAGCAGCTCAGCGGTTTAACCCGCTGCACCACTGGGGGTGCACTAAAGTACAACTCCCATTCCATTGTATTGAGCCATGGTAGTTTTAAACTGCATGAATTCTGCAGTGTGGATGCACCCTATGCTTACTTAGCTAAGCTTCCTCCCTTAACTTTTGTGATATCACCACAGCATCTGGGGTGGAGTAACTCTTTTTTCTGATTTCCCTCCCTATTCTCCTCTTCTTAGGTTTCCCTTCTCAGCTGGAAACCATCAGTGAGCTAACCAAGTACCTAACCATGGTGATATTCACCAGTTCTGTCCGCCACGCCAGTGTCAACAATGGCCAGGTTTGTCTCTGAAATGGGAATAAATTCTCCTTTTTTTACTTTTGTACTACAGCTCTCAGAATCCCTCTGCCAGCATGGCCAAGATTCTGGGAGCTGGAGTCCCAAACCACTGCTTTTTGTGATGCAAATCAGCCTTTGCATCTTCATGACCATCATATGTCAAGCACAGAAATACAGAGGTTAAGGAAAACCTTTCCTGCTGAATTTCTGTCCAAATGAAAAGCACAGCAATCTGTTTAAAAAGCAGAGAAGAAATGAGGAATTGTTCCCTCGCCTCTGAGATTCAAGTGAATGCCTTTTGAAGGATTTGGGATTATTTACTCTTTTGTCTATCCACAAAGTTAGGGGTCATCCTAGCTGCTGATCCCATGTCAGTGAGGCAGCAAATCCACTCTGGGTTTTGGTCTGAACTAATCCTGTGTTTATGGGTGTGTCTGAGCACCTTAGACAGCATCTTTAAAGTTTGTATTAGAACCAAGAATGAATACACAGACTTGGGATCTTGTTGAATTGGACTCCAGCTCACAGAAACCTTGGCTTTTGTGTTCATGATGCCCAAGGACTTCTAGGAGTCAAAGTGATGAAAAGAACCAAAAATAAAAGACTAGAAACTATTACTAGATATAACTTGGATAGTAGGCTTGGGCGATCAAGAAAAAAATTGGTTCTAAACTCGTTTCGTTTCTAGGGTGCGCTAGCGTTTCTAAATTCTGAGGACTTCCGAAATTTAAGATTTCAAAATTTCAAAATTTCTGAAATTTCGTAAATTACGAATCGATTCGTTAATGGCGGACGCGATTGCGCAATATGCTAAAAAAAACCTCCAAATGGGACAGGGGGAACTTCTGAAGCTTCCCTCTCCCTCTGTTGTTGACTGTTGGTGTGATAAAACAAACAACAACTATATTATATTATATTATTTATATTATATTATATTATTATATATATTATAATTATATATTATATATTATAATTATATTATATATATATTATATTATATTATATTATATTATACAATTATAATATAATATAATAATATAGTAATAAAATATATAATATAATAATATAATATATACAATACTATAATATAATAGTATTATAATAATATAATATAATATATATATTATATTATTATAATATTATTATTATATTATATATTTTATTATAGTATTGCATATTAGAGTGAGGCAAGAAGAAGCATGAGGAAAGAGGAGGGAAGCAGCAGAGCAAAGGGACCGGAAGTGGGGTAAATGCGAGATTGTAAAACTTGCACCAGACATACGAAAATAATTACGAAATAATTACAAAAATTGGAAAAATTGTTTCGATTCTTAATTACTCCTCACACTATTTCTGCATGGCTCGATATTGGATCGTATGCTAATTTAAATACGAATTAATAACGAATTACGAAATTAACGAATTGGATCGCCCAAGCCTATTGTATAGTAGTAGATAGAAAGAGTTGGAGGAAAAGCAATGGTTTGCATACAGAAGGAACCAGGATCAGGTTTGTGGGACATTCAAAGTGTAGCTAGCTGATTCCAGAAGGAAATCTCTTGCTTTACTTTGAGTTCAAAATCCAGAAAACAGTCTTGGGGGGGGGGGGCATTTCCTTATCTTTCTAAGGCTCTCTCCCATCTCTGCTCTTCTCCAGTTTGATTTCGGGGCCTGGATGCCCAACTACCCTTCCTCCATGCGGAAGCCGCCCCCAAAATCCAAGGGCAGCGTGACTTTTGGGGACATCTTGGACACCTTGCCGGATGTCAGCACAACCTGCAGCACTTTGCTGATCCTTTGGCTTCTCAGCCGAGAACCAGGGGACAGGGTAAGGCAGCGGTTCTCAACCTAGGGGTCGGGACCCTGGAGGGGACGGGATGTGAGGAGGTGTCAGAGGGGTCACCAAAGACCATCAGAAAACACAGTATTTTCTGATGGTCATGGGGATTCTGTGTGGGAAGTTTGGCCCAATTCTATCATTGGTGGGGTTCAGAATGCTCTTTGATGGTAGATGAACAATAAATCCCAGCAATTACAACCTCCAAATGTCAAGGTCTATTTTCCCCAAACTATACCAGTGTTCACATTTGGGCATATTGAGTTCTGTGTGTCAGAACCACAGTGCTCTCTGGATGTAGGTGAACTACAACTCCAAAACTCAAGGTCAATGCACACCAAACCTTTGCAGTATTTTTTCTTGACCATGGGAATTCTGTGTGCCAAGTTTGGTTCATTTCCATCGTTGGTGGAGTTCAGAATGCTCTTTGATTGTAGGTGAACTATAAATCTGAGCAACTGCAACTCCCAAATGACAAAATCAATCCTCCCACAACCCCACCAGTATTCGAATTTGGGCGTATTGGGTATTTGTGCCAAATTTGGTCCAGTGAATGAAAATACATCCTACATATCAGATATTTACATGATGATTCATAACAATAGCAAAATGACAGTTATGAAGTAGCAACAAAAATGTTATGTTTGGGGGTCATCACAACATGAGGAACTGTATTAAGGAGTCACAGCATTAGGAAGGTTGAGAACCACTGGGGTAAGGAAAAACATGCTGGAGTCGACTCTACCAAGATCCCTAGATCCCTTTCTCATAGACTGTTTTAATGCCAAGTGTCCCCCATTCTGTGTATTATCATTTTTATTGACACACTTTTCTCCCTGTTGAAATCCATTTTGTTGTTTTTGGCCCCATTGTCTCATCTGTTAAGGTTATTTTGGATCCTTATCTTGTTCTCTGGGATATTAGCTATTTCTCCCAGACTGGTGACATCTGCAAATAGGATAAGTGTGCCTTCTATCCCATCATCCAAATGAAATAGCACTGGGTACAGGACAGAATCCTTTGGCACCCACTGGTCACTTGTCTCCAGGATGGAGAGGAGCCATTGGAAAATGCCCTTTGGGTTCAGTCAGTCAGCCAATATCCAGTCAACCTTATAGTAGCATTGTCTGGCCTGCACTGCCTTTTCTAGTTTCCCTTTATGGCTGGTCTTTCACCACCATCTCCCCATCTTTCCTTGCAGAGGCCCCTGGGTTGCTACCCAGATGAGCATTTCACCGAGGAAAGAGCAAAAGAAGCCATTGTGGCTTTCCAGAGACGCCTGGTCCAGATCTCCGAGGAAATCGAGGAGAGGAACAAGGGCCTCCCGCTGCCTTACCATTATCTCTGTCCCAAAGAAATAGAGAACAGCACCTCCATTTAAAGCTTGATCCTGGCTTCTCTCTGCTTCTGTGAAGTGTCAGAATCAAAGGAGGACATTATTATGGATCCCCCAGGACTCACAAACCCTGAAAAGCACTCTTCCAGACATCGGTTTGTTCCTTGTGTTTCGCTACCTATTGGACCTTGGATTGACTATATATGCAAAACCGACTGATGAAAACACATAGTGTTCAGCAACAAAGAGGAAGCCACATCTGGAGGACTAAGAAGGCTCTACAATTTGCTTACTTTGGTTACTTTGGACTACCGGAGTCATTTATTTACAGACTGGAAATGATGCAAATGCAGGATATAAAGATGGAAGCTAATTGGCATCTCATATGTAAATACTGCAGTCTAAATTTCTTAGATTCGTAGAATACAGTGGGACAAACATATATAGTCGGCCCTTCATATCTACAATTCAACAAACATGGCTTGAAAAAAACATTTGAACAGAAAAAGATTACAACGTGAATGTGTCGGCATACTTTTCCGTTTCACGGACCCAGCACTTGTTTGAATTTTTTGCCATTTTATTACACCACTAGCTGTATCCGCCACATGTTGCTGTGGCCAACCTTCCCTCCCTCTTTCTGTCTTCCTTCCTTCCTTCCTTCCTTCCTTCCTTCCTTCCTTCCTTCCTTCTTCCCTTCCTTCCTTCCTTCCTTCCTTCCTTCCTTCCTTCCTTCCTTCCTTCCTTCCTTCCTTCCTTCCCTTTTGTTCATTCCTTCTCTCCCTCTTCCCTCTCCCCCCTTTTCTTTCCCTGCCTCTTTCTCCTCTTTCTTCCTTCTCTATCTATTCTTGGACTACAACTCCCAGCAGTCCTCCTGATCAATCCACTCACCTACCTACCTAAGATCACCTGCATTAAGATCACTCTGACCAGAAGGTCATGAGTTCGAAGCCAGGGTAGGGTAGACCCTCTTTCACTCAGACTCAGCCCCCCCCCCGAAACAAACTCAGCCCCCCCCCCCCGAATCGAAATCCTGGCTATGTGCCTGCAAGGCAGCCCGGGTTGGAGTGAGCTTCTGGCCTACCTACCTACCTACCTACCTACCTTTCTCTATCTAATTTATCTATCTAGAGGATTGCTGGGAGTTGCAGTCCAGGAATAGGAAATTGGAAATATGCAAGGATTGGGATGCTCTCAAATAAATCCAAGGAGAAGAAAGCTCGCATCTTGGAAGCAGTGCATTTGGATCATCCTCCTCTCCTAAAGGGCCTGGTCTAGCAGATGCTGGGAGCTGTAGTCTGAAAGAGATTTTGGATATGCTATTGTGTGTTTTGTTTGCGAGGGGGAGTTGTTTTTGCGCATGTGCTGTAGCATCTTATTGCTTTTTTGGCTTTTTGTGTCTCTTCTGTTGTATTTTTCAGTATTTTTATGAGTGATGGCCTGATAGGTGTATTGTGTCCAAATTTCTTGTCAGTTTGTCCAGTGGTTTTTGAGTTATGTTAATCCTACAAACAAACATTACATTTTTATTTATATAGATTGTTTATCATGGGATTGACTGTCTACTGTTTGCGGCCCTCATGGAGGTCCTGGGATCAAACCCCAGTGGATATTGAAAGGTTATATCAAAAGCAATGAATGGCTTAGAGCATAATTCTCCTTCAAGTGATGGAAGATGTCTGTTTGTCATAACACGTGCTTTGCCATTTCCTGTGTATTTGCTTTGTTTTGTGGTTGATCATTGTAAACTAAACACAAGTTCAGTCTATAAATCTGATTGCCAGGAAGAACATGTATTGTGAAGTTGTATTGTGAGTATCAAATATGAAAGAACACAGTCTCTTTTAAGTCTGATTTATCTTTGATTTCTACTTTCCACCTTCCATGAACTCCCTATGTAACCTGTGGCAACTACCTGCATTCTCTGCCGTTTGAAATATTTTATTTATTTATTTATTTACGGTATTTATACCCCACCCTTCTCACTCTGAAGGGCACTCAGAGCAGCTTCAGACCACAGGTGCAGCAAACATTCAATGTCACTTACACAATTAACAAGGACACACAACACAAATAGAGGTAAAGGCAGTTTTCCCCATCTTATTTCTGGCATCTTGGAGGCTGCGCTTGACTTTGGCCACAAAGAGGTGCTGTTGCTCCATCTTGCTCCGTGCCAAGGAGCTTTCCTCTGATCAGTGTCCTTAAGGGTGCCTTTATTACCTCTCCGCTGAAAGTGATACCTATTTTACCTACTCGCATTTCTGGTTTTGACCTGCTAGGTAGGCAGGTGAGCTGGAGCTAACGGCGGTTGCTCACCCCAAGCTGCACTCGAACTGCTGACTTTCCGATCAGCAGGATTTTTCTGTAGCACAGCAGTTTAGCCTTTAGAAAACCCTATAAAATTCTATCTGAATGTGACATACAGACTAGTTTACATGTTTGTAGAACACTTACGATTCTTATCGTCCTGTAGAGAGCCATAGACAGGTGTTGACCTCACCTCCTGCTGCCTGAGGCGGTTGCCTCACTCTGTCTCGTGGTAGGGCTTCCCCCTTCCCAAGGCAAATAATGCCTGATTCCCCTTTGAAGCCAAGATTTTAAGGAGACAAAGCATAATTTCGACATCACAGAGGTACATCGCAGTTGTGAAACATTGGGACAATGTGCAAGTCAATGCTCATGTGGCTCTGCATGTGTATCCATGTGCAGCCAGAGGCGGCCCTAGGTAATTTTCAATGGTAAGCAAACAGTATTTTGGTGTCCCCCCCCCCCCCAACCAATCACTGATATATATTTTCTGTTCATCGTGGGAGTTCTGTGTGCCATATTTGGTTCAATTCCATCATTGGTGGAGTTCAGAATGCTCTTTGATTGTAGGTGAACTATACATCCCAGTAACTACAACTCGCATATGTCAAGTCTATTTTCCCCAAGAGCGCCCCTGGGCAAAATCAACTATACTGAAAATGCTTACTATACATAATGGGTTGAGCCGCCCCTGAGTGCACCCAATGTCATGCTACCTTTCCAAATCGGAATAGGTTATTGTTACTCTGCATTGGATGAAAATGCACAATCCCTTCCTTTGGAGAATTTACCCATCAACAGGATGCCAGACTTATTCTTTTCCTTACATTTTAATGTTAAAAGAATTTTGTTTCTCTCCCTCCATAAGGCACATTGTGGTTGCCCCTTAGGCAGAATAATCAAACTATTTCTTCCAAGTCATACTACTGAATCTATCCATTTTCATCTGTAATTTTTGCATGTGTCACTGTAGTAAATGCTTACACAAAGGACTGGCGATGGCGCAAGACCAGAGGCGTGTTGTTGCAAAAAAGGATCTGATTAAAAAGATGTCTTTTATCTTTAGGGCAGATTATCTGCAAGATAAAAACCTGTGCGGAATTACAGAACCGCATTTGGTCATGTGGCTCCCCCTTGTGGAGTTTTGAGCAGGAGTCTTCCAGATATATTTTGGACTACAACACCCATCATCTTTCAACAGTATGTTTAGATGGGGATGCTAGGACTTGCAGTCCAATATAACATCTGGAGGATTGTATTATTCTCCCTAAGCTGCAAATCCAAGGTTAAAATGATTCCATGGCAGTTGAAGTGGAATTGTAGCGCCAGAATTTACCCTTGTACTTTGAAACCCAACTTTTAACACATCCACTACACCCCCTCTTTGCATATATATAAACTATATGTATAATAAAAACTTTGAGAACTAGCAGCTGCCAGGCATAAATTTTGGAGATACTTTCTTGAATTTTCAAATTGGTTTAGTTAAGTGCATTGAAAGCATTGCTTTACATATTCAGTTGCATTTGGCTTAATGACCTCCTTCTTGATCGAATCCGGGGAGAACAGATGAGCTCCCTCTGTGAGCTCCAGCTCCCCATGTGGGGACATGAGAGAAGCCTCCCACAAGGATGATAAAATATCAAAACATCCAGGCTTCCCCTGGCAATGTCCTTGCAGACGGCCAATTCTCTCACACCAGAAGCAACTGCAGTTTCTCAAATCGCTCCTGACACGATAATTACAATTACAATTTAATCTTGATTTAGAATGCATATTTAAAAATGTATACTAAATATTTCTTAATGCATGTGCAATATCTAGGATCAGAGATGAATAGAATGAAAGAAGAAAGTTTTCACTATTGAATTGAGGGGACGGGAGTTCTGTCAGGAAGTTCTTCCTCTAATGTCCTTTTGTAATTTGAACACATTGCGTAGGTTCAAATTGGATGCATCTACACTGAATACCAAAATCTATGGATGCTCAGGACCCATGATACACTATGGTGTAGTAAAATCCGTTCCTTATACAAAATGGTAAAATTAAGATTTGCTTTTTGGAAACAGTTTTGGGAATATTTTCAAACCAAGGACGGTTGACATTAGAGTTGCGCACAGAATTTGTTTCTCCCATTTTCTCAGTTTCTTTTGGTACTTTCAGTACTTTGGGAGCTCGTAATGGTAAGGGCCCTTCCAATACAAAAACCCACCCAACACGAAAGCAGGCGGAAGCCGATCTCAGATCCTCCTCTGCTTTTCAGCATCACAGTTTTATCTTTTAAAATAATCCCCCAGCAAACAAAAAGTAAACCCTCATTTCCTAAAAACTACTCTCCTCTTCCAGGAGGTCATTGCTCTTCCTTACCTGCAAGTGGCAAGCCTCCTTAAAAGGCTGGAGATTTAGCAAAGCTGGTAAATCATCAGCAATTATAAGATCTATCAGCCAAAAAGTTGCAAGTTCAAAAACTCAGGTTGGCATGAGCTGCCAAGTGTCAGCCTAGCTCATTGTTTACCTAAGCAATTTGAAAACAGCTTTAGTTGTGATTAGAAAAATTAGGTATCGCTAAAAGCGGAGGAGGTGTTTTATGACACCTTAAAGGAAGAAGATCAGAAAATGCTGGGAAAGAGGAAGTCATAGAATCATAGAATCATAGAATCAAAGAGTTGGAAGAGACCTCATGGGCCATCCAGTCCAACCCCTGCCAAGAAGCAGGAATATTGCATTCAAATCACCCCTGACAGATGGCCCTCCAGCCTCTGTTTA